TGGATCGCTGTGGACCATGTTGTTTCTTGGTCCGTTGGATCCTCTTGGGTTGTTTGTTTGGTTCAACAATGTTGACAACATCCCGACCGAAGTGCTTCACGCGAACTTCAAGTTCCGTTGACTGTGCGAATTGCGCGAGCTCTTCAGCTTGACGAAGATAGTCAATCCTGTTCAAATTCAGGCGGGACAACATAGTCGTCTGCATGGCTGGATCGGCATAATGCACGATGTTGTCCAGTACGAGGTTGTCCGCACCTCCACATGCGTCGCTCACAGCGGTCAGGTACAGGAAGTGTTCGGTCCAGCTACGCTGGGGTGACTTGGCAGCAGTAAACAGCTTCATGCTCTGGGCAGGTGTTATCTTGGTGTTGAAGGTCTGGAATAACCTTTGCAATGCATGCTCCAAGGTTTGGCTCTCAGACCACCAAGTTTCCACCTGCCGCCGGTAATACTTCTGCGCCGTACCAGCGAGGTGTTGGCCGAGGACATCCACCTTGATATCTTCAGGCCATCCAAAACCGCAGGCGCGTTCCGAGAACGCAACCTGCCGGACAAATTCCTTGCCCCATTCAATGAAACCACTCCCAAGGCCATGGGAGAGCTCCTTTCCATCGAAAGGTTGCAAAGCCAGCTTCCTTTGGCGTCCATCCGGTACACCTTGGTGTACCTGTCCGGGCTGGTGTTGCACCGGACCTGGTACTTGCATACCCGGGTATACTCCCGCGGGCATGGCATGTCCCTGAATTCCAGGCTCGAGACCCCGAGCCATTCCATGTGACATTTGCCTGGGCCGGCGCGTCAACCATGTGTTCCCCGGCCAGAGCCGGTCGTCGGGCACCGAAATAGGTGGCCGGCGAGACATTCGGTGAACGTTTAGGGGGTGGGGTACGCTCCAAAGCCTGAAGTGTTATACCGGCCCCTGAACCGAGAACCGAACCAAAGACGCTCGACTCCGCAGATTCCATGCGTTGGCCTACAACTTGTTCGCGTTGGGAGGATTCCATCCTGCCCATCCGTTCCGACAAATCGCCAAGCATGGCGAGCATCTTGTCCAGTGCCGCCGCGGGCACTGCCGACTTTTCTTCTAGTTGGTGGTCCTCGGTCGTTTCTCGACCATCAACCACCGCAGCGGGTGTGGCTCCTTGAGCTGCGCCGGCAACACGATTCTTTGGGCTCATAACCTGTAAAAAGATGAGTGGTCGTTGATGAACTTGTTGCAGAAGATGTAGAAGTAAAAGTGAATATATTTAAGCATTAACCTCCCTCGTTCGTTAATACCTACACATGCATGCGAAACGGACTGCAACTATACCGTCTATAGTGCACGTCTATCCCGCTCCGTCCCACCTGTTACGACATCGACAAGACGACATGGTAATCTCGTCGCCTCGTCTCATATGTCGCAACATCCTGGTGGTCCGACGTGGCGACATCGTCGCCTCGTCCCATCTGTCAAGATGTCAAACTTGTTAGCCAATCAGGTACGATTGTAACTTACCGTGTCACGGGGTATTGCCCTTGACCCTCGCGACTTGTCAGAAACGATATCTTCTAACAGAAAAGACGCCGGTCGAGATATATTCTTCGAGTGCGTGCGACAATAAATATAACGTGGATTGCACCAAGCCGAAGCGCACGCATGAAAACTTGCCACTGGACGTGAGACGACGTGCTATGCTCGCACAGAAAAACCGACTATTGCCACGTTCCTAAGTAGTGAGGGGTTCGTCTATAATCACCACCCACAGCTTTGCCAATTTTTTTGGTTGAACTAATGCCACGTCGATTACTTCAAATAAAACGCCTTATGACAGCCGGACTTTTGGGTTTTGAGTATGCTTCCTATGTCGACCGCGCTTTGTTTTTTAGATGTACTGAACAAATGCCAAGTGGTATGCTCAGGTATGCTCAGTATTGTAGTGACACCACACAATTATCGAGTATGTACAAATAATTCATCTGCGAATTAGTGACTCTACTTGTATCGTGGTTAAAGGAATCAGATAATATTTTGCAAAGGGACAACAGTCTGTCGAGCATAGGTGAAGACAACAGGTCAATTCGTCCGCAATGTGCGTGCGGCGCAGCAATCTGAGACAACTATTTTATGAAAATCGTTCGGAAAAAGCGCCTTTCCAGCAATAACATCGTTTTGGGGCATGTGTGTCTACATGTAGCTGCACGGTCTACTCCCGTACCAACAGAATGTACTTGTGGGCAAGTGTTGGTATGCCAATGAAGCGGTAAAACGGGTATGGACTACAATTTAAGACATGTCTCGGATATTCATGCGTGGTTAATAGTGAAATGTATACCAACAAATACGATATGTACACCGAGCGAATGCAGCCATGAAGTGCTAGTCAGCCTCTCGATGAGGTCGTTCTAGAATATTCTGTGCACAGGTAAAGTTATTGCAGCGACTTAGGCCACCCTTACGTTGCTAGCAGCAAAATACCGATGAGGTCCGCGCTGACGGGACGAAATGTGCGTCTGCCAAGTGTCCGTAAGAAAAGTATGCTTGTCATTGCTCTAACTTTATTATGCATGTTCAAAAGTTTAGAGAGCATGGTGGTCGACTATGATATTTATGCGCGCGCCGACGCCTTCATATCTACCCCCGTCCTCCGCTAGAGGCTTCGTTTGTAACGGTGGCACGCTGTAGGAGGTACATCTATGGGCTAGGGACGTGTACCACGTGACGTATTACGAATTTCCAATCACTGTCGCCTCAGCCACCAAGAATACGTTTCAGCTTTTACTCCAGCAGAGGGTAAAACCCGATAATTTATTAATTGCGCAGGATTGATCTCCGTGTAGACATGTCAATAATATTAGCTCGCATTCTGATATGAAACGATACGTGCCTCGTTAAGGCGTCTCTGCTCACTCGATTCAGAAGCCTTGCTAATCATTTACTCATTATCCCTTTGTGTTATCCATCTTTTGAATCGTTGAAGTCCCTTAAACCAGGACTAGAAGATCAGTGAGATAAGCAGACTCGTTTAGTCGTGTTCTTGTTGATAACGAAGCTTCTCGTTGAATCAAAAGCTTTTCTCTGGTAAAGAAGTAATTATAGTTTATCCATATTGTCAGTGGCCCTATTTAAGGTTATAAGCTTTTCATTATCGTGCAATTGCTCGGACGAAGAATCTTCTCGAACTCAGTGTAAACACACCTCTACCACAGCACAACCACCACACTTAGCAGCTCGAGCGTCGACCATGAAAGGAGTGTCTACTATGACAACTCTATTTGCAACAATTTGAAGATGAAGCGGACAGAAATCCAGCTGTTTCCGAGAAGCCAAATTACCACTCTCGAGAGCACAGCAATCTTCTTGGCTTCCTACATATGATAACCTTGAACAAGAACAAATGGACATAACGTAACTGGATCTACCGCGAAAACCATGGTTGATGTAAGCATTGATTTGCTAGCGCGCAAACTAGACGATCACCAACTTTCGCCAAGACAACCCACGATCAAAGATTTTACCGTGCACCCGGTGCCTACATCGTGGCTCATGATTTTCTGTGAAGTTCTTGCACATCGTAAGCAACATGTAACAAGACAATTTGAACCAATGTATCGCTCTTTAAATTTGCTGCCGTTGAATATTCGCACGTCTGCAATTATTAATTTGGGCACGTGTGTAGCTTTCACCGCTATCTGTCGACATTTGGACAGGCGAATGTAGAGTGCACTCGCATTTCTCGGAATCAGGACTGGACAACGTGACACCACTTTGAGTCGATCGGCATTTACGATGAGAATAGCGTGTGCATTGATCTCGACGCTGGTTGATGACTGCGACGACAGATGCTAGTTTTGGCCATCAGCCAACTTGTACCAGCCAAACAGAGCTTTGCGGGAGCTATGTCATTGGCGCTCGTCGATTCTCTCCAACACTCCTGGATTCCTTCATGCAATCATGCGATACAAGCAGGTGTGTCTCGCATCGTAGGGTCGATGAAAAGATGAATTTGGAAGCTGTACGCATCAAGCAGTAGCTCTATGAAGCCACGAGACCCATCATCGTTCCTTGTCGCAGCCTAGTGGTATCTATCTACCTACGCGAGCAGAAGCGATGCCGCCCTTCGTGAGCTTCGGTGTTCATGGAGTAATTTCAGCGATGGCGCATCGAAGCAGGGCAGTTGGAGTGAACGGTCATCTTGTGCAGTTTACTCGACAGACTCTAACGTATGCATGTCCTTCTGCATCCATCGATCGTCTACAATTACGTCCGGCAGTGTATTGCTGCTGCAAATTGTACCGGCCAGTACGTGCGTTAATAACGTGTCAAGCACCGCCCTGAGATTCCAGGCGACTGCTGACGCGGTGCTGTAAGCACGTACAAAAGAATGCCCAAGTGGCATTGGATCTCCCTTCGACGTTGTGGAAGTGCACACACGACCAGAGCTTTGCGTGGATACCCGTTTATGGTACGCAGTCACTTTGTCTTAGTAGAAGTTCACGAGAGACAAGAAGAAGCACTAAACGACTCGCTTGCGAGCGCTTTTGCATCCGCTGCGGTTGGTGCTGGATCGACAAAGGTTTCCGAAGTGCAAAAGCAGAAGGGAGTATGCCATTGTGAGCTGAGAAGCGGTAAGTTCTACTGCAGTCAAAATTGCAACACCCATTGAGACTTTTGCTTGTCGCTCAGCGTCTTTGCTTCATTGGAATGTCCTGTTTCGTGCTTTGTCTCGGACACTCACGGTACGACTCCAGCACATCTCTTTTGTACGAGTTAAATAGGGACCAGGAGTCGGACGAAAGCAAATGTTGACACTACCGTATTCCAGGGTGAAGCACAGGTTGTGACTCAACTCTATTCACGAATTCTACATGCGTCAAAGACACAACAGCACAACCACCTACCCAGCGCCGTAGACCAGCATGCGTCTTTCCCGCACAACGTCGTCTCTGCATCAAAACTCGTTCAACCTCACGCGTGTCTGCCATCTTTATCTGCCTGTCTTCTTCCTTCTTCTTCTGTATTAGAAAATAGGACGCGGAGGTCCACTCTTGCGGTCCATAAAGTGCTGACGTCGCAACAGTTGGTGGTGACGCCTCATGCCTGCCTCAATATCCTGTGTCTTGTATCGTGCGTTCTCCTCACTCTTTGCTTCTAGTTCAGCGGCGTCAATACGTTTGCCGTCACGATAAACAAAGCGCTGGACACCCGAATCTGAACAGACCCCAAGACAATATTAGACACCAGGAGGCGGACAATGAAAAGGAAGACGAGCGCAGAGCTACAAACGTTGAACCCTACCGGCTTCAGCACGGGGCGTCACAATCTTTAGAAAGTCAATTGACGACTGTGCGCGTTGGAGCAGCGCCGACACTCTACAGCAACAGACAATGAACGACTAAGGACTCGTTTTACGAGTGATTGGACTCGTTTGCAAGAGACGACGACGACGCACTCTTTGGGATCTGTCAGGTCTCCATGAGTGCGGAATTCGCGGCGGATCTGGTCGATCGACTTCTGGCGCTTGGGGGCTGGCAAACTCTGCGCTAGACGCAGCAGTTTCTTGTAGAGCGGACGAATCGCTTCCGCCATTCGACCTTATTCAGGACACAAGCTGAGTTTTTCGCGAAAGAAAATCTAGTGGTCGGTGAATACCGTGCTTTATACCGACGCACATGCCGTTACGAACCGCTAATCCGATGAAATACGGCGGAATTTACAGCAACGACACGGAGTCGCTATCTCTCTGGATGGTGTCGCGTGCACGGATCTGGCACTCACAATGCCACCGATATGCCCATGACTGACTTGCCACGAATTGGCTACTGACTCGATACTCTTCCAATGGCGACACACGCGGTTGCTGTACTCGCATTATACCTCATGCCTTGCGAGTTTATGACGTATTTCTCTTGCACTGCTTTCCACACTGTTCACCGATTAAAACGTCATGACATGATACTTTCGACCGGCATGTTGCACGTTCAAACATATCGAGGACTTCCAAGGTGACAAGTGCCACGGCTTTATGGCCGATAAGTTTCTAACATGTTTCACAACATTGCTACTGACGTTGCTACACTTTCTCCGTCACAACCTCCGCTTCGAACATCGGAATCTTTGGCGACAAGAGATCGAGGAAATTAGCGAAACTGTAGTGATACTCCGCACGAAGTCTGCGATCGATCGAGCACATCTGGGAGGTCCATCCTGATGTTGTCAAAGTTTACTTTGATCGTTTCCCAGTTATCAAAGTGTGACTGTAGTATACTCCATTCCGTGCTTATTTTCGGGAGGTTGTCGGTATGAGGGTGTCAATATGATGCCGTCGAATGAGCTTCATGCGTCCTATAGGACGTTGTGCGCATCAATGGTGCAAGGACCTCTTTGCGACAAACGTATCAATCAAGTGCTCCGACTCAGGCAGCTGACAGTATGCAGCAAGAACGCACGTTCAGCACAACGTCATCGCAAGTCGACTCTTGTTGAACCAGCAGATCGTAGAGTGAGCGCAGTGGGTGGATGCGTCGGGTCACCTTGAATACCGGCATCGCTGATGTGAGAAAACAACCTTTGCCATCCGTTATCGCGCAAGTTTCATGCACGAAGTGGTTGGATGGAAAGCAGGTGCTTGCTCTCTGCCTACTTCTGACGAAGGGATCGACGACGCAAATGACAACTGCTTGGTTGCAACCCTACACTCAACACATGAAAGCACATTAGCGGCACAGATGAAGACGGCAACAACACTAGCAACGGCGATGAATAATCAGGACGAAAGCTCATCGTACGAGAAGGCCGAAGCTTAGGTGTGAAGACGAGAGCACCGCTGGAGATGTGGCAACAAGGATACAGCAAGACCAGCGCACATCGTGCTAGATCAATTCGTTATATACATTGGCACGAGCTGTAAATTGCATGTGCGCCTATATTTGCTAGCAGAATCACCCGGAACAACTACGGTCTCCCTTTTCCAGTAGCAGGAAGAGATCGGATACGGGCTTTGCGGTAGTAAAATGCACCATTTTTGGGCGACTGGTATAGCTCACATGTAGGTCGCAGGATTCGGGCCAAGCGTGCAACGTGACAGCGCCATGGCCGACCAACAAATTAAAAATATTGGGGACATCTAGTTGATCTGACACACGATAAGAAGCATCTTGCAACTCAGTACGCGGTGATGTCAAGTTTTGATTGTGCAATGAGTCACGAGGAACATGATGGAAGCTCTCGAGAGACGTATCGTATTGCCCAAGCAATGCATCTTCTTACAATTCGATGATCTGACAAGAACATGAACGCAACACCATATGTAATGTGTGCCACAGGTGACACGTCGAATGGTTCGAGCGTGACATGTGTGCTTACCAGCATTATGCGACGCCATGAATAGCGGGATGGTAGCAACTATGGCGGATACAGACTCGGTCATCTGTGAGTACCCAAGAAACTTACGCTTTTTTACCGACCCGTAAAGCTGCAAGAAATGATCCAAATGTGGTGGAAATACCACATGTGCGAGACGCTCGGTAAAACGCATGCAGATGAACGGGCATACATGCGCTGAATGCTCATAAACTCTGCCCGACGTTGAGGTTACTAAATGCGAAGGAGTACGAGAGACCAAGACGCATTGAACAAATTGCATTGCAGTTCAGACAGGATTCAAACTGTCATCTTGTCGGCAATCTGTTGTGACTAAAACACGCTGAAGGAGCTGACAATGTGCGCGTGTATGCAACAGGATGATGACTTGCTCCCATGACTATCAGAGCGTATCAGTTTGACTAGTGCGTCAACATCAGCATCTCAAGTGCAAGGCCTGTATCAGGTCAAGTGCGCTTGCGTCTAGCTCGCTGGAAATGGAAACGGCGCTGGGGTTGGACCTCAAAGAGGGATCTGCAAAAGAGCAATAAGGAAAGCCGGAAACAGGAAGTGGAGGATGAGGGAGTTTCTCATCGACTATGTGTAGTGTGCAAGATGTCTGCAAGGTCCACGCTCGTCGCTGGTAATAGGGTACGGACATTAGAAGAGATCCGCTGCATGTAGAAAGAAGTTCAAAACTGCTTTCGACAAATGCTTCTCGCACTTCTGCCACCTTCTGCAAGCGAGCACTGACTCTATTCCTACAAAGCTGTCCAAGCTGATAGTTGTTGGAAACTGAAACGTTCAGCGATCAAATAAAACGTCAAGAGCGATGTGTGCGCGACGTCGAGTCAGGACAGAACCGGTCATGGAATGCTCTACCGACTCATCTCGTTCCCAAATGTCGTCAGTGCGACGCAAACTGCTGGACAGTCCATACGTACTTAGTGGAATTTCGAACGCGTTTTGTCAAACGCCGTGTGCTGCCGAGTAAATACGCCTCAATTTCTCTGTCGTCAACAGCTCCGTCTTCTCGACCAATCAAAAGCCACGAGCTCAACCCAATGTGGCAGTGTCCTGCGTGGATGCAGTAGGCCACAAGCGCAAGCAAATGGCGTCAGGCGTCAAGTGCGTTCGTCTCTGTGCTTCCCCCCGTCCCACTGCTCGATAGAACGGCTGCTGATCCATTATCGCTTCTTGTGCTTTCACTCTGTAGTCTATCAGCGCCGACGGCGACGGCGTCGGACTCTTCCGCGTCCGTATACCACCTCGCGGGCTGGAAAACATGTGGGGGAAGCTGCGTCGTACAGGAGTGTGTTGCGAACAGACCGAGCTAAGACTTATCGTTGCTCGTTGTCTATAGGTCCGTCGTTTGTCAAGGCAAAGGAAGTGGCTGCCGCCATGCACGTGATGTACCCAGACCGCGTGGCATTCGAAACGCACCCGTTCGAGGATAGAGACGCTTTCAAGCAGTGGCTCAGCACATCGCAGGATGACTTTGCCACGCAGTTTGGAACCGACTCGAAAGCTACGAGGCACGTGACGTCGCCTTTTGTATGGAGAAGTAACCCCACGACGTTCGTGGGGGGGTGCGACGATCTCGTGACGGTTTTTCGGTCTGGTATTGCTGTTGGACATCCCCAAGGCGTAGCTACGAGCGAAGAAGATGGGGAGACGTGCCATGCTACGGCTGCCGATGCTTCCATCGTTGCTGAACGGAGTGAGTCGGAGACTTCTCTGGGTATCGTAGATAACGAAACAAGCTACGACTACGACCTGGTGGTAATTGGTGGTGGCTCTGGCGGCTTGGCGTGCTCTAAGGAGGCTGCTTTGTACGGGAAAAACGTGTGTGTGCTCGATTACGTCAAGCCGTCGCCGCAAGGAACTTCCTGGGGTCTCGGCGGCACGTGCGTCAACGTCGGCTGCATCCCAAAGAAGCTGATGCATCAAAGCTCTTTGATCGGCGAGATATTGCACCATGACTGTGCGAAGTTCGGGTGGGACGTCGGGGGCGCGAATGGAAAGGCCCCGACATTTGACTGGAAGCAGCTCGTGTCGAACATCGGCTCTTACATCAAGAGCATCAGCTTTAAGTACAAGGTAGAGCTCCGCAGCAAACAAGTAAAGTACGAGAATTTCCTCGGCTCGTTCGTGGATCCGCATACGCTGAAGCTGTGGCATCCGAAGAAAGGCACGAAACAGATTACCGCTCGTCATGTGGTCATCGCTGTGGGCGGACGACCTCGGGAGCTGACGTGTCTGGGCGGGGAGCTTGCAATCTCGAGTGACGACATCTTCTGGATGAAGCAGAAGGAACCCGGCAAGACCTTGGTTGTCGGTGCCTCATATGTAGCCCTCGAGTGCGCGGGCTTCCTGAAGGGGATGGGCTATGCCGTGAAGGTGATGGTGCGCTCCATCTTGCTTCGTGGCTTTGACCAGGAAATGGCCAAGAAGATCGAGGAGTACATGGAGGTGCAAACAAGAATTGAGTTTCTTCGCAAGACGGTTCCGCAATCCATCACAAAGCTCGACAACGGTCAGCTACTGGTGAAGTGGACGACGGAAGATGGCGATTGCTGTGAGGAGGAGTTCGACACAGTGCTGAATGCGACGGGCCGTGATCCTGATGTTACCAACCTCGGCTTGAACGAGGCGGGTGTGAAGCTGAACGAGAAAACTGGCCGCATCTGGGTGAACAGTGAGCAGACCACGACACCGAACATTTATGCTATCGGCGATGTCATTGACGCGCCTGAGCTCACGCCAGTGGCGATACAAGCAGGGCGCCTGCTTTCCCGTCGTCTGTATAACGAAGGTCGTGCGCAGATGGACTACGACAAAATATGCACGGCGGTGTTCACGCCCATTGAGTACGCGTGCTGTGGTTTATCGGAGGAAGACAGCAAGGCAAAGTACGGCAATGACAATGTGGAGGTATACCATAAGAACTTTGTTCCGTTGGAATGGTCGCTTGCAGAAGAGACTCGTGTCGCAGCTGAGTCCTGTTACGTGAAGGTGGTTTGCGACAAGAGCCGTGATAATTTTGTGCTGGGCGTTCATTATCTCGGACCGAACGCGGGCGAAGTAACGCAGGCCATGGGGCTGGCGATGAAGCTCGGTTTTACGTACGACCAATTGGTCGATACGGTGGGTATTCACCCGACGACGGCTGAAGCATTTACGACACTGGAGACGACGAAGAGCAGTGGTGACTCGACCACTGGCGGAGGATGCTGAGGCTAAGCCCCCTCTGGTTTCCTCCAAGCCTTGCCAGTCCTGCTAGCCACGTTTCCAACCTTGTTGGAGAACGGCAGGAAGTGTGTTGGTGCCAGGAGGTGAAAAGGAAGAGGGGGGAGAACGCAATTGACGGAGGCCAAGTTGCTAAGCCGCTCTGTATGAGAAGCTTGGCTGCTTTGACGGACGACAAGCGCTGAGTAATGACGCTCTTTCCCGAAAGCCTTTGCAGGAAGGGGAATCGAGCTGAGGATCGGCGTCGCGTTGTAGTCTATCAGGACGCCATGAGTCAGTAGTAGCTACTTTTGTTTCGCGGTTACTTTCTTGCACGTTGTTTCGTACGCAAATCATTGAAGCGAGCGACGCTCACCGATGGACGGCCGGATGTGTACACGACACTGGTCCAGCGTTCCCTCTACTGATCTCAACCGGTAGCATAAGCACTATCGAGACGGCCTTCACGCACCCATCACCAGCCAGCCAACCAGCCAACTTCTGATACTTTCGACCGCTAGGAGACCAATGCATCCTATAGTGCTGCGTCTCCTGCTTGCTCTGTTCCTGTCCGCGGGCGTCACGGGGCAGCGGTTGATCAGCGATCCAGACGACGGTCAGGTCGTTCGTTACCCGTCGCCGCATTTCCTTCTCGACGATCCCATCGCCCAAGGCAAAGCGCTTGCCTATCTGCAGGATCAAGGCGTCAACACGAGCATTGAAGCGCAGAGCTGGAAACAAGAGCACGGCTACGCGTCATTGCGCGCTATGCTGGACGACCAGTCGCTCTACCACGTGTCGAAAGACGCGTCCTTTGACTGCGGCTTCACGAGTCTTCAGTCCGAGACGCAGGACATTCCGACGAACGGCACGTTCGAGAGCTCGGGCTACACGCTCGACGGCCCTTGCGAGGTCTGGCTCGATGACACGCAAGTGATCGCGGGCCGCAATTGCCGCACGGAGTTTCCGCTCGGACAACATGAGGTGGACTACAGCTCGTGCGGAGACTCGTGCACCCTCCGGTGGTACTGGCTCGGCATCCGGTACGTCGATGGCATCTACTCGTGGCAGGTGTACAAGAACTGCGTCGGCCTTGGCAAAAAACATGAGACGGCGTGATCGAGACGGTGGTGCTGCTGCTGTTGCGCTCGGGTTTGGTGCTTGCTGAGCTTGCATGGCAGAAGGCACGTTACAGCCAAGACACGTGCTCTAGCGTTGATGCAGCTATCGTCTTCAACTATACATGAACGAACGGCTGCGTGTACATCCGAAATCGACTCGACTTGACTTGTTTGCTAGAATGGACCTCGAGGCTTTTGCAGAAGGATAGACGCGTGTAATTGCATGATTCTGTCGGGAATCAACGACAGAATGTCGCGACTGCATGACGATTTCTTGGCCAAGGCGTCTGTCGTATGCAATCGGCAAAAGTCTCAGGGCAAGACCTGTTCGCAAAAGCCGGAAAGAGGTACCGCTGCTCTTAGCCTCCCTTCCAGCAATTCTATTTTGCCACGTAGCACGAGTAGCCGTTCATCACCAGTGCAATAATAGATGCAGTGTGATCCGTACCGTGTTTAAGCAGACCGCCCGCGACTTCTCTCACAAACATCTCCCTGCCAAAGGCTTTCAGCCATGCGTTCCATCAGGGCAGTTGTTAGGTTCATTCCTCGACCTTTGCTAGTTTCAGCCCGAGATCATCTTTCGGCTCATCACCCCAACAGTTTGCTCAGCGTCCACGAAGCTCATCGCAACCGTATTGCGTCATGGGACCAACGAGCGGGTCAGCGACTTGCCACAACATAGTCATGTTCGATCGATACGGCGTCGCGTGTACATCATGTAACTACGGTAAGCGCCAATAGGTTTTACGAATGTTCGAGGTCCAGGACCCTGGTACTACTTTTCCGTTCGACAACAACGCGGATGGACAGTCACCATGCGAATTTACATTCCTCGCATTGGCGACCTCTTACCATTCGCAGCAAGTTCTGCCCTTGTCGAGAGCCACGTCGATCTCGCTGCATTCGACAGCTGTGCTATATGGATCGCCAACAATCGAATCCCCTCATGGTGCATTCAGCGTGATAACTGTAACTCGGATCCCTCAACTCGATGAAACACGTAGGGGTACATGACCGATTTGTCAAAACGCCAGCGGCAAAGTCTCTTATGTCAAGGCCAGATCATGCAGCAGTAGCCTTCTCCTGGTGTATAAAATCATACCTGGAATACGTACTGCATCAATCAGCTGCTGCAACGCATGGCATACGTACCATCCAACCGCTTTGTGTCAATTTGTCCGCCTTTGTGTAACAACGTCATGGAAACCATTTAGAGCATGAGACAGCACATTTGCACTGGACAGCACAAACGTGTGACGCGTCGTGCGTGGGTTCAGGATCCCCTTTTTTCATGTGGTACACATACGATCACGTGGTCCATGGCCCTGACACACCACTTTCTGCAGCATGGAAGAGATCGGGCTCCCCCCCGTCGTCGCGGACGAGGAGCCGCTCGTGCCCGTGTCCATTGAGACGAAGACGGACCTGTACGCCAAGTACAAGTCGCTCGAGCGGCATCTAGAGTTCCTCGACATCCAGGAGGGCTACATCAAGGACGAGATGAAGAACCTCAAGCGGGAGCTCATCCGGGCCAAAGAAGAGGTCAAGCGGATCCAGTCGGTCCCGCTCGTCATTGGCCAATTTCTCGAGATGGTGGACGCCAACTACGGCATCGTGGGCTCCACCGCTGGCTCCAACTACTACGTGCGCATCCTGAGCACACTGGACCGCGAACGGCTGAAGCCCAACTCGTCGGTGGCGCTGCACCGCCACTCGCACGCGGTCGTGGACGTGCTGCCCCCCGAGTCGGACTCGAGCATCCAGATGATGCAAATGTCCGAGCGCCCGGACGTCTCGTACTCGGACATTGGCGGCATGGACATCCAGAAGCAGGAGGTGCGGGAGGCCGTGGAGCTGCCGCTCACCCACTTTGACCTGTACAAGCAGATTGGCGTGGATCCCCCGCGTGGCGTGCTCATGTACGGCCCACCAGGCACGGGCAAGACGATGCTGGCCAAAGCAGTGGCGAATGCGACCACCGCTGCGTTCATCAGCGTCGTGGGCTCGGAGTTTGTGCAGAAGTACTTGGGCGAAGGTCCACGCATGGTCCGTGATGTCTTTCGTCTAGCGAAAGAGAACTCGCCTGCTATCGTGTTTATTGACGAAGTGGATGCGATTGCGACCAAGCGCTTTGACGCCCAGACCGGTGCAGATCGAGAAGTACAGCGGATTTTGTTGGAGTTGCTCAACCAGATGGATGGCTTTGACCAAGCGACGAACGTTAAGGTCATCATGGCTACTAACCGCGCCGACACGCTGGACCCGGCACTACTTCGTCCTGGTCGATTGGACCGCAAGATTGAGTTCCCGCTGCCGGATCGACGACAAAAGCGTCTGATCTACCAGGCTTGTACCGCAAAGATGAATCTCGGAGACGAGGTGGATCTCGAGGATTATGTGAACCGACCGGAGAAGATCAGCTCGGCTGACATTGCGTCCATCTGCCAGGAAGCAGGGTTGCAAGCGGTGCGGAAGAATCGCTACGTTGTGCTACCCAAGGACTTCGATAAGGGATACAAAAATGCCATCAAGCAGGCGGATACGACGTTTGAATTCTACCACTAAGCAAGAAGTCATGCAGAATGTGGCTTTGGACTTTGGTCGGAGGGTGTTCGTAGCCAGCCAAGTGAATCAGCACTCGATAACTACATTTCGATTACGGAAGGCAATCTAAAAAATAGCAGCTAATTCGTCTTGTGGGCATTTTTTCTACCACGGATCTTGTCCCGATCGAACCAAAACAACAACAAGCAAACGCGCTCGATAAGCGAAGACAAGTACTTGACACTAGCCATGTCAACGGGGCATGCTTTGTGAAGGAGCGTGCAAAAGCCAGGAGGTCGTGCCCTTGTTGCAAGCTACACCAGGTTACGGTACAGGGCAGAAGGTTTTTGTGATTCTTTATTGGAATCGGATGGCTGCAAACGTTCGAGTGATGGAGTGCCTTGCCTAGAAGGCAACAATCACATACCAAGTCTTGGCAGTATGAACACGATGAGCGTCCAAAGTAAATGATGTAAGTGATGTGGTAGTTTGCAACATGTCTCTATGCATCTCAAACTTTTACACAACGACGCTGGTCGGGTATGTGCTCGTCTATATTGGCTGAGTAGGAGCGCTATAAGTATGAAGTCGTTTGCTATAATGTTCGCTCAACCAACGCTAGATCATGATCGTTTGTTTGCTCTCAGTGGCGTCAAAGATGACACCATTGCAAATGAAGTAGAACAAAAACCATGACACGGACCATACAGCGATAGACTCGACGGCTTAGCAAGGTGTAGAATCTACCACGCAGTGAAGGGTAGGTAGCATGTGCAGTACAAACATGGCCTGGGCAAGCCAGAACCTCAACGGTCTTAGTTCACATGGTCGGGTTGTGATAAGGTCGTAAAGGACTTCCTTACTGACCCCATTGAAGTAGCAATAATGCCGAAATAATGTCCATGATCGGCCGATCAAAACTCAAACCGACAGCAAGCAGATTAGTCCACGCATAGATATTCAGTCGAGAGAGTACCCTCAGCATTGTGAGCGCATCCTCACACAACTGACACTAGTATTAACCGCATCATTAGGTCGATCGCATCGCTTTAAAGGTTGTGGCATGACATCAAAGCGTTGATCTCCCATGAGATTTGTGCGATCATCGCTTCAGAGTTACCACGCATATAGGATGGCGGGCGACATAAGATTGAGCATTTGCTATTTCTGCAGAAGAGCAATACACGTCACTTGCTTCATAAGGATGGAATACGATGAAACGAGTCGATTACGATACATCCGAAGCTAGCAACTGAATGAGGTGTTGGTAGATATCGCGCGACATCTGGTGCGAAACAATAGGATCTTCTCAGACGAGGCGTGCTGCTCTGGCATGCGCCCTGCGCCGCTGTAAAGCTACCTCACCATGTTCTAAATTGCTTTGTTTGCGCCTTGAGGCTAGCATCTCAGGCGATCTCGCACATGGTCGAATACCGTATTGTCCATTGTACACGCGCAAAGTACCGTTTACCGAAAAAATATTAGTGTTGCGGACCCATTTGAGGTCAGCACGATCCCATCAGATGCCTTGGAGCACACGCGCAATTTAGCTGCGAAACCTTATGGACTCTAACACCCGTATCGGACTGTTCCTTTCATATCGCAGAAACTTTCAAGCGATAGAAAGGTCTTGTGCAGCGCGGAGAAGACCGACGTGGAGGGGGATCAAACATTTAACAATGGAGCAAAGCTCTTTCTCCGACGCGGTGTTCTCTCATTGTGTCAGACTGACCAAACTTTCATACCTGCTTTTGGTCGACGTTTTGCTGACGCCGTCTGTACGCTATACATGTTGGCGCACACATACTATGGATCTCGCCGTGTGTGGTTAGCGGTCCATACCTCGAGAAGTTGACGCTCACAACACCGTCAACTTGTCTGCATCTCCTCAATCATTTGCGCATTTACAAGCACGTAACAGAGAGCGCTTGTCATCCCGTTATCCACACGTAGAGCACGGTAGCCCGCGAGTCTGCAAGAGCGACTATGTTGGTATCTAAACACCGTTCGTCATTCTACTCAATCTCGTCTCAACAAACTGGTCGTCCTCGAGGCCACCCGAATTTTACGTTTTCGAGAACAATATCGACGCTGTCGTGTTGACTCTTCTATCGACGCTGTCGTGTAAGGGTCAAGTTTGTAATGCATAGCTCTCCATAGGTATAGCGAAAGTATTTCGTTGCTCGACTCGCAGTGCACCTCACTCTCGCCATACCGAAGTATCGTCGTGCCGAACTAGACTGATAGTAGCAGCTAGTCGACTGATAGATACAGTTGCTGAACGCCCACGAACTTCTTGGCTTGCCAGTAACTTTGCCTTGTCCAGTCATGAGTGAACGGCAGCGACCTTTTCAGCATAATTATGACGTTGGTACTCTGTAGACTGCCTCAGCTCTCAGCTCCGACTGTGTGTCTACCCACTTGTGGACAGAACGCAATGCCCACGTCCGCGTGGTCTGGTCGGTTATCGGCAGCGTGTGCTCAGTCTCAAATCGCATTCCTACTGTCCGTAACAGAATCAGCTCGATGCGAACGACCTCGAAGGCTTTTAGGCTCACCTCTGAGTCATTACTGCATCGCTCTTCTTGACAACGACCACCGCCCGAGCTCGACAAAAGAAGCCAAAACAGTGGCATGAGTCAGATCAAGGAGTGCTGCTGGGCCTTATACATCGAGCAATCGGATGTCAATGCCCTCGTGCTGACAGCCATCGAATCGCAACATGCTCGACCGAGCAATTGCCGAGTGCACGAGTGCAACAATGCTGATCAACAGTGGGAACGCGCGAAAAGGTAGTACTACCACACACGCACGAGACGCTGTCATTGCCATTCGGTTGCTCGACAGCTGCCAATCCATAACGACCGCTTCACCTGTCGGAAGACTCTGTTGCGTGTCATCGCTCGTGTTAATTGGAATAAAAAACAACGTCTGTCGTGTTGTCTTGTTGCGCGTATACCCTAAAGGCTCAACCTGAACAGCTTGAAATGCCGCTGTTCGTCTGCGTCCATACGGATCCAAACAGGTCGCCCCGTCCCCGTTGACTCGTGTGCCCCCTCGTCACAGGCAGTGCAAATCCTACATCCAGATTTGCGTCACGCGCTCGAGCGCGCAGCCCGTTATCACCGCGAGCGCTGCCACCGCAACCAGCAGAAGCTGCACCGGGCGAGACAGCGTCAGGCGGTAGTCTACAACCGCTATCGGTGTTCCCGTTGACGACGACGACGACGAACAACAACAACGGGAAGACGAAGAAGGCGAAGAAGAAGAAGAGGAGAGAAAGAACTCGACGCCAGTAGTACTGTAGCTCGTGCTCGAAGCAACGGCCGTCGTCCGGCGACGCGGGCCCAGCCACGTCGTCGACGGCGCAGCGCTCGTCGGCGGCCGCTCGTGGGCGGCCACGCAGTCGTCGCACGCGCGGACGCTCTTGCGCGCAAAGAGGACGCGTTTGGTCGAGCACGGGCCGCACACGACCTCTCCGCACAGGCGGCAGTGGCGTTTGGTGGCCCAGAGGCGGAAGCTGCGGCGGCAGTTCGAGCAGCTCGCGCGCGAGGATTTGGGCACCCAATGCGAGCGGTGGCAGAGCGCAGCGCCGCGGGTCGTGACGCCGCGTACGGCCTGCGCCGACAGGCGGCGGACGACGGTACGGGGCGCGAGGCGCAGCGCGCGAGGAAGAGGAGGGGGACGGCCGGGGGAGACAGCGGCGGCGAGCGCCATCGGGCGACACGCAGCGAGCGAGCGACGGGCGGCGAGATGGACAGTGAGTGCGTGACGAGGAGAGGGGCGCGGGGGGAGGGAGAGGCGCTGGCGCGGGCCATGGTCCGGGACGAGAGGAGACGGGGCGTCGCCCGACAGATGGCCTATTGACGGCGAGGGGAGAGGAGAAGCGGGCGCGAGGGCGAGCGGGACGGCGTGAAGTAGCGCGTAGAGCCGCGGCGAGGAGGGACGGGGTGGGGGGTGGACCGCCTGGGGGCAAACAAACAGCACCGAGTCGAGGTGAGGTACGGTCGTCATGTGGCCTGTCGCTTGGCGTCGAAGGGGGATGGGGGAGACGGGATGTAGCCACTTGGGGGACACGACGTGACGACGGACGGACTGGTCGTGCGTCGCTCGACAGGGACAGTGTGGGCGCCCGTGATGTACGACGGATTCGCAAGACGGTCTCGTTTGCTTTCTCTCTCTCGCTGAGGTGCCGTTGCTACTACATTACAAGTGCACTCACTGGTTTTCGTCGGATCCATATGCCTTCCTGTCGCTCTCCTGTCGTAGCTGCGCTCCGGCAGTAATCAATCGCCAATCGCACTGCAGGATCGGTGTCCACACGTGACAAGTTGATACACGTACCCGCCGTGCACTAACTCAAGCAGCCTAAAGTGGCTACACGCAGGTCCGATTCACGCCGCCGAGCCGCACGAGGTCGGGGACGCGTACTCTCCACTCGAAGCGTATCGTCTCGCGGCCGTCTTTTTCTCCACAGATGGCATTGCGCCACATTCCGCAGGATCCTCATCTGCCTGCGGTTCGATCGCAAATGGGGCACTGGAGCCAGCAGTCTCGCCAGCAGTGGTCGAATGGTCTTCTTTCGTATCCAGGACGGCATGATGCACCACGACGTTGGCCGCCGCTCGACTGCTTTCGTTCTCCGCTTTGCTAGCTGTGCTCTCCGACTGTTTCGTGACGCTTTCTTCGCAAAGGCTACTTGCGCCGAGTTTCGGCGCTCTTTGCTTCGATGGCACAGCTTCTTCAATCTCCATTGACAATGCTGTTGCTGCTGCTCCTGCTTCTTCAGTCTTGGACGCGTCGTCCGACAGACTCACCAACGCCGAGCGCACCACCTGCAGTGACTCAATATACTGCCGCAGCTGATCAAAGATCGGCTGGATCTCGTCGTCGTGCACCTTCTGGTTCGAAATCCACACCAGTCCGGTCTGCGTCATACGCGCAAAGCACGATAGCGACCGGTGTACATACTGCCGGTAATACGAAGTCATCCGACGCGCGCGCGGTTGACAGGGCTCCTGCGCCACGACCGCGTACTCTGCGTTATGATTCAGATGTGTGAACGGGATCGGGTGCAGCGCCTCCGCACAGAAATCAAATCGCTCCACCAGTGCCTTCTCCACCTCTTGCTGCTCGAGTGGACCGTCAATTCTCAAGAAGATGGGGCAGTTCAGCGGATGCAGGTCGAGATTGCTCGAGATGCCGTTTTCAGTCACCCTGTGCATTTCCAGACCGAGCTGCTTCGCACGGCGACTCAATCCAGTGATTAGATCATCGACGAGAGAGCTGCGACACACAAGCCACTGGATCTCCACATGGAAACACTGTGTCGGAAACACCTCCGTGTCAATCTTGGCAATCACCCAGTTTTGACTGGTTAACGCATCGTTGGTATGCAGCAGCATCTTGACACTTCGCTGCCCAACGCGCTTGAACGCTTCAGTACCGCTCGCTGCGATATCGTGTTTCCAGTCAGTCGAAAACTGCACGCTTGGAAAACCTGTACTAGCACCTGCCTTGCCTCGCAGAAACTCGAGGAACTTCCGACATCCTTGTGTGTAATTCCGCAAATTGTCTAGAAGCAACAAAGCAGACATACGCAACAAATTAGTAAGGACGTCCCCAAGAAGATTGCAGATGCGTTGCGCTTCCTCTCACCTTGATCGCTGATATCGGAGCCTTGTAACCGAGGTGGAAAGAGGCAATAAAGACTGCGCTTGTAGCGGATCCCTTCACTCATGACGTCAATGTAGCCGCAGATTAGTTGGTCAAGGTGGTTCCACTGGTATTCTACCTGCAGATACTTGCGGAACTCTTGGCCAACTGCAACAAATCGATTCACAATAGGCGACCAGAGCGAGTAGCGATACTCCATGATGTCCACATCCGAGCGTGTCGTCACCTTCTGGAGGTAGCGCTTCACATCAATTGTCTGCGTTTCTTCATTGTACACGATTTCATGGATTCGGTGGCCCATGCTGAGTCGGAACACAGTGCCAGTTTTCCCACCAGCTTCATTCGACACTTCTACGGAGACAAGTTGAAAATCTTGGGAAAGTCGCTGTGCCACCATCTCCAACACCAGCTCACGGTAATCGCGGAACATCACACCGTTTTGCTCGTCACGTTCTGGAAGCATGACGCTGTAGAATGACTCGGTGTAGTGCGCTTGCAACTCTTTCGGGGCCGGCATGAAATCACTCGCGAGTGGCAAAAGCGCAGGAAAGCACAGGCTCCTCCATTTCAGCACATTCTGCGCAATCTTGTACTGCTGATCTTCGTATGGCCGCACTTGGCTCCATCGGCGCTGGTTGCTCGTGAGCTGCTTCAACATATAGGCCTGAGAGTGGAAGATATCTTCGTTGACGGCATATTCAGCAGGGCGGAGAACGGGACTCGTCACGAACGGAGTTTGACTTCGGCCACTTCCGTCGCCGAGCTGCAACGTGTTTGGGAACGAGCTCGAAGTCATGCGATGTCTGTCCTTGTCGTCGTCTAACGACCCCGCCATAGCCTCTAAACTTCCTCTGTACTCAGCAGCCATGTCGACATTCGGCGGAGAAGGCGATCGCTGTTCGTAGTGACGCCAGCGTGTTCCGCCGCTACTGGTGCCCCCGTTTTCGTTCCCAGTACCAGCTGAGTAGGACAGAACTCCAACGATACCCGTCCGTTTCTTGATTGTTGAGGTAAAAAACGGAATTCCCGGGCGGAGCGGAGGTGGTGTGGCGATACGGACACTGGTGTCGCTATCGGATGACTTTGGTACCAGTTTTGGTGCTGATGCGAATTCAAAGACTTCGTCATCATACCTGTCGTATTCATGGAGCAGCTTCTTTTGTTCGGTCATCGAAAAGCTGCGAACTTTGGTACGGACTTCGCCATCGTACGAGACACAGTCGTCAGAGCGTGCAATGGAAGACGCCCGGGCGCGAACGAGGTCACTTGTAAGACCGGCAGGAGTGACGTTGTCGTACGTAGACCCACTAGCGGACGGTACAAAGCCGATGGTGGTGTCACTGCGCTCATCGTTACCCATCGATGGCTCGGTTGCTGGAAAGCCTGCTAGCATACACTCCAGCGGCTTCGGAAGTGATAAGCATTCAGCATCCGTGAGACCGTTTTTACCGAACATCCGGCACATCGGTAGCGGCTCGAACGTTTTGGTCTTTGAACTCTGTGGGGCGCAGATATCGCAAAACCGAGTAATGTCTTCGTCCAGTGGGCACTCGTGAGGAACGAGCATGTGTTCTTGCACAAACCAAAGCGGGATCCAAAGCGGAACGATATAGTTCTTGCGGTTTTCCACCCGTTGCAAACAGTACTTGCACAACTGGCCCGTTCGCATGGACGACACGGCCGGATCAAGCACTCCTGTATCGGCAGCGACTTCGGTCGAATCTGAGCGTGAGCGTCGCTGATACCCGTTTTTGACTCCGTGGGGGTTGTTGCTGCACAAACAGACCTCTGTCGCAGGGTTGCCGTCTTTCCGGCCAGGAAGCTTCATTTCAGATAAATCGGACTCTTTGAAAAGAAACAGCGGGCACTTGTGCAAAGGGCGTGATGCCAGCGAGATGAGGTCAATGCCGATACCGTGGTCCATCATGCGCTGCTCCGTGATTTCAGAAAGCCGCTTATTGACGGAGAAAATGCCGTTGCCTGCCGTGATGAGCACAACGCTTTGACCGCTGCGGGCCAGGTCACGGTCAATATGGTGCTTCTCGAATAGATTGAGCACGAGGTTGACAGCTTCCAGCAGGTTTCCGTCGCGCGCATTCGACGGAACTCCCGGTCGCGGACGCACTTCGTTTCGGACTGACTTTGCAGGAGAGAACGGCGAGATGTAGCAATATCCTGGTGACCGCCAGCCACATTCGCGCGGGAACGCATTCATTTCTTTCTTGAGATCCATGAGCAGCGGCTGCACGTCTGTGAGTATGCTGTCAAACGTGACCAGTTTGTAGAAATCCTGGTAATGCTTGCCATTCTCATCGGCACCAATCGACAAGCGCTCGCGCTCGTCGTACAAAAACGACGACTCTTTCTCATCGACCTCTTCCCAAGGTTGTCTTCGCTTCGGCATCGAGCTTCGATAATGACCATCCATCGACGATAACTCGTGATCGTGGTCCATTTCCGGGTAGAAACATCGCGAATAAAAAAGAATTGTAAGGCTGTGCGAGACTTTGTGCTTCACCCACTTGCTCAGCACGTTTCGAACGACGGCAAAGAAGATCTCCAAGTACAACATGCCCGAGTTTGCCATGTCCCACATCTCGGGGCTAACCTGCACGAGCCACATCACGCGCGACGTCTGCGAGCGAAAGGTAAATTTAGTCTTGTCCGAAATCACGCCGCTCTGTACCTTGTCGCCGCCTACACGCACATCCAGCACCTGCCACCTCGTGCCCTGCACCCGAATCGTCTTTCCAACGTACAAGGCCAAGCCCACCATCGACTGCTGTAAGTACATGAGGTCTCGTCTCGACATGAACTGGTCTTTGAGCGCGAGTTCGACAAAATCCACCTCAACCTGCGTCTTTGGCAGAAAGCGCACCGTCACGTCTTTGAACGGGGCCAGCTGGAAGAACGTGGCCGTGTCCTTGAGCACACTCACTTGCATCTTGCCCTTGACCGGCGCGGCACTGCTCTCGGGGATGTCCAGCAGCAGGTGGTGCTGCGGCGAGCCTTCGGCCAGGGCAGCAGCTGCTGCTCCGTCCGTGGCCACGACCTGCGATCCGCCTGTGTACGCCGGGTGGAAGACCTCGACCACGTAGTCCTTCCACACCATCTCCCGGAGCTGGGGGAAGCTGTCTGGATTCAGCACAATCTCGTCGCCGCCCTGGAACTCGTGGCCATGGACGTGCAGCTTGATCTGGGCAGCTGCATGCACTGTTGGCTGCCGCTTCTTGGCAGCGCCCGAGGCGTACGTCGCCGCTGTGACGTCTGCAGGATCGGGAGCACCAGCAGACGCGCCAGTTGCTGAGGCCTTTTCGGCAGCGGCGGCGGCCTTTGCCTTTGCGGCGCGTCGACGGCCGTACCGGCGACGCATTAAAGTGCGGACGTCTGTCGAAATGGATGATGGGGACGAAGTGAACCCATTTGGGGCGTTAAACAGAGGCAAACAGGCGGTGAATACGGACGTGGCTACATTATTGTGTGCCGCGGCGCTCGTTTCGCTCGATTACCACCACGACTGTCTGTTTTCTACCACAATGCAAAGCAGCAGGCGACTTGTGTAAACTTGTGTACCGTCGAGCCATAGACGAACGGATGCCGAGCCACCAGTGAGTGTCGTCGAGATGGCACTTGCGCAATGAGCAGACGACAATGTGCTTTTTCTGCTGTCTATGCGCGCTTGTTGTTCTTTCGGTCCTTGGCCGAAGCCACGATCGCTGACACCATCCTGTTCGAGCAAGAGGCGACACACAGGAGCGTGTGTGTGAGTCGAGAGCTCCGTGCACTTGCTCGATAGCACGATCGACGCAGAGGAATGTGAGCACAGACACGTACCAGAACATGCCGTACACGATCTGCAGGCCGTAGAACACCGTCCTGGCAATTGATTCCACGCGAGCCTGCTGGAGCTTCTTATAGCGCAAAATCTCTGTCGGGTCGATCAAATGTTCCTTGCGCAGGACACTGCAGAGCAACAGCAGCACATGTCCCCAGCATCAACAGTAGTCATAGCATTGCCGTTAGCTCCTTGCCGCTTCGTCCTCGGATTTACACAGGCGCACTTACCGTCGGGCGTGCCACACGGCAATCGGGAGGTTCATCAGGAAGATCCACGGGGCCCACGCCAGTAGACAAAAGAACATGAGGACGCCGTGCAAGATCATCTCTGGGTCTGCAGCACCATCACCAGCCACACAAGACACGTCCAGTCAGCTCGAGACTCGAGTCCAGAACGCAATAGTAGCAGCAGTGGCAGTAGTAGTAGTATCAGCAGTAGCAGCCGACTGCAAGACTGCATGAAACACAAACAACTGTCGTCACGCACAGACGAGTTTGTTCAGGCGCTGGGCGACATCCGCCGGGTTCAAGTGGTCGAGCTCCAGTTCATCGAGCGTGATCAGCTGCCGGCAGCACAAGAAGTACACACGACAGTCAATGGAGAGAGCGCATGTCGATACGAAACGACGCGACAAATAGACAGACAGACAGACAGACAGACAGCTTGACAGACAGCTTGACGCGTCGTACCCAATAGCCATTGAGGAACGTGAGCGCGACAATGTCGACGAAGCTCAGTACGGCAATGAGCACCTGCATGAGGTTTTCTCGCCAGGTGCGGGCGGGCGACGCAGCTTCGCACGTGCACAGACGCAGTCCGTCCAACTGTCCGTCAGCGCGTGGGGGAGTTCCCAACACACGTCTCGATCCAAAGTGGGCGTACCACTTCTACGACTCACTCACTCTGTTTGTACCACCACACCAGAGCGTCTCAAGTGCAGGTCCTTTTTTCGTCCCAAAGACCCGCAGGACCGCCCAAAGTCGGCTCACCATACAAAGCGCAAGTGCACAACGCACGTTGCGCGCCCGGACATGAACCTCCCGCAAAACTGTACGTCCCGCTCGGCCTCTTGCTGCGACATGTGCCTCATTGTGTGCGCATTGTCGCCGTGTCTGTGTGTCGCTGTAGCGCGTTTTCGACCGCACGCGGACAGCGTCCAGTGCGTGCGCTTCGGTCGCAAAGCTTCGGTACGATGACAGCTGTTCGAATGGACTCGAGACTGTTTCTCATGTTGAAGGGCTCGTGCAGGGAGAGGACCGACTTGTCGCAACGGGTGGAGACGACCGCCTGGTCAACGTCTGGAAGGTGCGGGAGAACGGGGCCACGAAGATCACGGTAGGGACATCCATGGCCGACAATGGGGGACAGCGGTTGACGTTGCCGAGACTAATGCTGGGCTGGACTAGAGGCTCCAAGGCCATCAGAGTGCTGTCGAGAGCATTGTGTTCGAGCCATTGGATCGCAAACTTGTGGCTGGATCGCGGTCCGGACCAGTGGAGGTGTTTGACCTTGAAGCTGGTCAACTGAGTCGAGCGCTGAAAGGGCACATGGCGGCGACAACGACTCTGGACTACCACCTCTACGGGGACTACGTGGCCTCTGGCTCGATGGATACGATCGTCAAGGTGTGGGATTTGCGTATGAAGAGCTGCATGCAGACGTTCAAGGGCCATTCGTCGAAGGTTACGGCCGTGAGCTTTACACCCGATGGACGCTGGCTCACTTCGGGTGACCACGACGGCAGGATCAGGATTTGGGATCTTGCAGCCGGGCGGCTTCTTCATGAATTCGCTGATCACCGTGGCGCTATCACAAGCTTTGCATTCAATCCAGAAGAGCTCATCTTGGCTTCTTCTGCGGCTGACCGCACTATTCGATTCTGGAATGTCCAAAACTTTGCCGCGTTAGGCGCGACTCCTGTGGACAATGCGACGGTACTTCGAATGCGACGCAATGCTGCAAAGTCGTTTGTCAAACATCACTGATGCATGTGTGTGTCGTTGTCGTTGCTGCTCAGACCACATCAATGTGCCACACAGTTGCAGAACCATACCGCGGCAAGTATCTTGTCAGCTGTTCGCAGGACGCGATTCAAGTATGGTCCTACGAATCTGGGATTGAGGTTGGTAGTTGCTGTCCATTTGCTGGTTGGTTTGATGATGTCGAATAAGTTTGACGTACGGGTGATGTGGAACAGTGTCACGACAGTGTGGCGATGCCCCGTCAGGGAGAGCTAGACCATGTCGAAGTTCACGCCGACACAGCAATGACGAACGACATGAAGCTCATGACTGGATGTATCCAGGGCGCTTTTGTCTCGATACGCGTACTAGACGTGATGCAAATGCGGCCATTTCACCACACAACCAACGGCACCCATGGTGAAGAAGCTGCCGCGACCACCAGCAGGAGCCGTCGACCTCCTTCTGCAAGAGCGGTGTCTCCATGTGCTACAGCTGATGCAGAAAAAGTTGCTGCACGAACCATGACCGTAGCAAAAGCAGCTGACGGGCTGGGCGCAGCGGCACCTGCTTCTGGAGCTGGCAATGTCGAAGCACCCGATTGTGTTACACGGGCAAGAAGATGTGTGGGACTGGATCAGGTATCTCGTGATGCCAACCATCAAGCGGCTACTCATCTGGCAACTTCCGAAGTCTTTGTCGCTCAGCCAGATGCAATCGCCCGTCCGACATGTCGTGCTGAAGACCCCAGCAAAGCAGGTACGTTTGCTGCAAGTTTGATGGTAATACGAGCAGCAGCTGAACAGCCTTTGACTGTAACTGGCGTTTGGGCTCCAGATAGTGCAAGGCTGAGCACTCTGAACGACGACACGCAATCGCAACCGCCACACAGACATACTGAGACGCACGAAACCGATTCCGAGACGCACGAGACCGATTCATCTGCGTTGTCATCACAGCAGCGAGACGAAGAACTGGTCGTGTCCGACTTTGTGACAGAGCTACGTAGCGGAATGGACACATGCGTGAGAGCGTTCAAGGCTCGGCAAAAGTGTGTCCAGCAGCTACTGGTCCACTGGGAGAGAGGTCATTTGATCAATGGTCTTCGGTACATTGGCGAATTGCCAAAAGGCAAACGCGCGGCTGTGGTAGTGGATGTACTGCGTATCATGGATTTGTCATCTTTGGACGTTGATCTGGAAGCGTGTACGCTGCTGCTTCCGCTCATTGTGGAGCTGTTGGAAAGCAGATTCGAATTGTGCGTCTCTCAGCATCATCAGCGCTGCCTGCTGCTTGTCTTCGATCTAATCGTTGTCGTGTGTGTCGAATTGGTCGTGCACAGGTACTTGAGTGTCGGCATCGTGTCTGGGCATAAGCTGCTGAGCGCATTTTCTGCCATTGTGAAAGATGGTCGAGATAGGTACACACGAGCAATGGACATTGCGGGCAATGAACGGTATGTGACAGAGACCCCACTGCTGCGCTCGGCTGTACATGTTTTTCTCACCTTCCTCTGCTGCTTACAGCGACCGAGCGAGACAGTGCAATACTTGCGACGCTTACTTTCAGGAGATGCATCAACGGGTTCAGCACCTGGCAGAGACCTACACTGACTCAGCATTACGATGCAAGTTCCATGCACTTGCACGAGCACTCGACGATTTCCACCGATGATGATACTGTCATCAGGAATGTCGGTATAATACTCGGCTCGACGGAAGACGACGACTTGCTGGCCCGTCGAAGGCAACACAGCCTTGCTGAGTCGCAGCCGGTCCTGCGATCTGTACGCCAATACACGCCACACGTGTTCTCAGCAAAGCAAAAACGGGCACACGCGGTTCAGCAATACTTCATATTATCGAGCGGTTGTTTGCCGAGTCGCGGGCGTCATGCAAGTGTCGATCGCTACACGTGTCGCGTCCATGGTTCAAATCCAATGCGCACGATGCTGAAGTAGACGCTCAATCGACGAAGCGCTAGCCACAACAGGTACCACGTCTACAACTTGGACACAGAGCGCGCCAGTGTCGCCGATATGATGCCGTGCGGCTCGTCCGTGGGCAGAAAGACCTCGCCGTGTGGGTGGATGTTCTTGCAGCCGAAGCGAGAGAGATCGATGGGATTGTTGTGGATATTGGGCATGTCGATCTTGATGTCCTTCACGTACGGACATCTCTCCAGCACCGCCTCGCCCATCTTGTACAGCGTGAACTGAACGGCCGGACTGGGCACACCCACATCCGACGGACCTGCGAACGTCTCCAAGAGCACGCTCTTGATCTCTGCTGCTCTACCAGCAAAGTCGACACCCGCGTCATCGGACGTGTAGGTCCACAAGGCCGAGATGCTCGTGCACATGAGACGGTCGGGCACTTCAAGCAGCGTCGTGTACTCATCCCGGAAAAAGTCAACAAACGAGCTCTGCGTGGTCTTGAGGACCTTGAGACCAGCGACACCGCTTTGCACCGTCAGTTCCGGGGCACTGTGCTTCACTGACTTGCGGGCAACGACACTATCAAGCAACGAGTGGGACAGAGAGACAGAGAGACAGAGAGAAAGAGACGCGGGACACCAGTCAGCACGTAGCTGCAGCAGACAACTGACTGCCTACCAGACAAGAGCAGGCAAGCGCAGAACCACCTACCGCGTCGTGGCGTAGCCGAGACCAGAGCTGCCGAACGCGTGATGGTGCGGCTGCATCTCGCCCTTGGAATCGCGCACCACGAGGCGCTCCCACGGCGTCTCGACGAGCTTCACCTTTGCCACACTGACCTACACCAGCCACATTGCGTCCCACAAGACACCCAGTCACGGCCAGACAGATGCACCCATTAGAGACCCATTTCCCATCCTCCGCATCAGTTTTTCGCTCGCTCGCTCGCTATGGAACTCGACGGACGTTCCTACGGCGCCAAGAGACGTACGAGGTCCGCGTGCCTCGTGACAAAGTGCGTGGCGAGCGCGACGCCAAAGGCCTCGAGCGACGCAACCTCGTGCTCCTTTGCCAGCACCCACACTGTGTTCTTGATCGAGTCGGTGGGCAGCACGTGGCTGTTGTCGCCGCTGTTGTAGGCGCTGGCAGCGCGGGCGCCTTCGAGCAGCACGTGCGCTTCGAGCTGGACGACCGAGTGCTGCGCGGGCGTGCGGGTGACTTTGAGCAGCCGCACGCGGCCCTTGCCGTGCTCGTGCTGCAGCAGTTGGACGGCCATGATAGCGCTAAGTACGGGACGAACGACCGATGTGACGGGCGCACTGGCCACTTGAAGCAAATGAGAAAATGGACTCACTCGACAGGGGCGTCTTGACGCGGGTCGCGTAGCGCTACTTCAATGTACGAAACAGCAGGTGGACAGTGCGCTACTTTATCGAGACACGACCACGTTCGGCTGCGCGCAGAAAAAAGACGCGGTCAGGTTGGTAGATGGCCCACGTTCTATGTACACGAAGGAGCACATGTGGTGGTGCAGCGACTGGGCGCTGTTTCCTCGTGTTGAAGCGTCCTGTCTGCTCTCGCAAGACCTACCCGCACCTGCCTCGTGGGCGCCCATCGTGGACAATGACGTTACTTCACTCAACTGCCACTGCAGCTGTTCAGTAGCTGTGTGTCTGCGTTCATTGAGTATCATCTGCATGGGGGGACTCTGCTCTTCCAACGGCTTTTTGCAACCATCGATCGCGATCTGCGCTAGTGGGGATGTCACATAGTGGCTGTGCCACTCAACGCAAACTTGAGCACATATGCGATAATGTCGTCCCCAGTTGGTGGTGGCAGTCAGTCGATGGGTGCAAAAGAACAAGCTCTGATTCAAGCCTGGGACTGCTGGGAGCAATGAAAGGTGACATTTTCTGCGAAACTCATCGACTTCGGACTTCGAAGTTGACCGGTCGGTCGACGCAACGCGCACAAGACGCACTTGTTTCGGCTGGCAAGAAACGCCCTACATGCGACAACAGACGGTCTATTTTCCATCGCAAAATGTATCTGAAGAATTGTTTTAGTGTTGTAGCACCCCCGCCGGATTGTGTGTGTGTGCCGGGGTCGATCTTCTCGTTTTATCGTCATGGCGATGCGCATGACTTCACACAGGACGCGGGCGATGGTATCCAACTGCATCGTACGCGAGACCTTTGTACCAGGCACAGACATTCACTACTGTAACGATGTGCAGGTAGTCGCTAGACACTGCAAGCGATAGAACTGCTAGTTGTTCCTTGCTCTTGACAAGTATGCAATCCCTGAGATCGTACACAGACAGACGTGACTAATAAGTGGTGCAGGAGAACTCGATGACGAGAGGCTGCGAGGCATCGATTGCTATCAACACGTTTGTTTGTTCTAGTGCTCGGACGGACAACGTCACGAGACGGTCGCTATCGTGACAGCAACCACATTGGTGACAACAAAAGCCACTTGTACACGGGACCTGACGTAAACAAACGCATGCAGGAACCGCACGAGAGTACTAGACATGCAACTGTCGATGTAATACCAATCGTCAACGTGCTGTAGAAATGTGGCTGTCGGACGTGAAGGGAATGCAGCAGGATCCATACGCGGCCATAGATATTGACACAGATCGTGTCGATCGGGTCAGGGCACAAGACCCGCTCCTGTGTGCAAATAGTGCAATGATCGTACGTCACGTGCAGCGTGAAAGTAGACGTCGTCAAGGGCAGAAAACTACAGCTGTAGCTTATCTGTGCATTACGCGAACTCTCGACTGCGACTCGAGGACTGCCAATGTCCGGCAGCGATGATGTCTCCTCGCGCACAACTTTTCTCATACGGGCAGGTAAGGCAGTCAGCATAGCAAACAAACTGCTGAGAACGTGTCATTTACGCGTTTTCGTCAGCTGAAACCTGTCACAATCGGTGTTTGATGGTGTCAGTTCTTCTACCCCCCGCGTGCTTGTGTTTTCCGCGTGCCGTCCGACCTAAACCAGCGCTTTTATCGACGTTCATTCGTTTATTCTCAGAGTACGAACAACGTTTTGTCACGGTTTTGGCTTGTGCAAATGGATAAAGGAGGCGAAAAAACATGGATCGGCTATGCACTATGACGTAATGTGGACATCAAACGCAACGTGAGTCATTGTGCGCTCTTATGCCGCGACATTGCGAGTGACAAGACCAAACTTCAGCACACGTGACACTCTTTTCCAGTCATCAAACTGCAAAACCGTTCAGATCGACGCACATGTCTCGTCAACCCATCCCCAGATCCAACTGCCACTTCAACGTCCTGCACCAAGTTACATAAGGGTCGACACGCGACAAACAGCAGACAAATGACCAGTGGACGCCCTGTATTCCTCAAGCATTGCCAGCATCGGCATCATTGACCTTGATCGAGTCTGTGCACAAAACACGAACTTTCGGCCTTCCTCACCCTGCAGCAGGTCGACACTCGTTGCTCTGAATTGGTCACTGTGGTCAAGGGTCATCGTCCGGGAACGAGTAGTAGGAGCTCATGACCGTCGGTCTTGGTGTTGCTTCCAAAAAGTCGATGATCTTCGTGCGCCCAGTTCCGCTGTCGGCTTCACGCCATACGAGATATACGAGGCAGGTGCTAGAGAGAGACCGAGGTTCCTCCTGACCTGAAGGCGGTCATTGAGATCGCAATTCCCAATATCCACAGCACGTTCTAACAAATCACAGCAATTCCGTTGCGCTTCTCGTTTGTTTTGGCTCCAAGAACATTCATCCGTTCAGTGACACGCTTCGGCTTGCCATGACATCTTCAGCTTGTCATGGCATCCCTTCGGCTACGAAGTGTGCCTTGTATCCGAGTCGCACACGGAAGTGCGCTATGTGGCAACCGGTACGGGCTTGGGGGTCTCGTGTTCTTCGTACAGGGAGTGTGTTGTTTAAATAAGATGTTGTTGTACCCGGAAACACTCGACGAAGCCGCGTCTTTGAGCAATGAACGATCACAGCTCGTCGTTCGGAAATACTTCGTTTTGGTAGTCCTGTACAATGCTTCCGAATCGCTGGATGCACTCAATGTGGGGAAAGTAGTGCACTTCATAAACTGAGCGGTCGTAGGTCAGCGCGCTACCGACGGGCTTGATAATCTTATGATCCGAAGGCTGAGTGACTGACGGTGTAAACAGATCAGTGGCTCGAGCTGCAGCATTGGTGACTACACGGACATACACCAGTCCTTCCTCCACAAGCAACGACATAGCCTCGCGTGTGTCCTGCAACGACAGCAGCTTATCGACCTTAGCATAGGCACGCTTCTCAGTGATACCCGGTGCCTGAATCACAAGTGCTAGCAGCTTGCGCTGGATCGCAAACAGGAACGTATAGTTTGTTCCACCGTCCATTTTTATCCACGGAAAAGACAGCGTATCCTTCTCGCCTTCAAACACTGCCCGGGGCATCGACGAGGGGCTGGTACTCGGAACCAGCGAGAACGGTCGCAGTAGCCATAGGTCTCCATGCTCCTTCGCAATGTAGCGTTGCTCGAAGTACGCATTGACGCAAATGAGCGCACCCTGGTCAACAAGAGAAGTGAGACAGTGCGCCACGGATATTTCCGAGACACTGTGAAGCTCGTCATCCTTGCTCGAGCGCAGCTTTTCCGCCAGAGCTGACAATGTAAGCCCCTCCTCACCACTTTCACAAACATGACCCATCACTGTCTGCATCAGCGTATTCTCTGATTCCTCGTTATTCTGAAATGAGCGGCCCGCGACTGCTTCCTGGTCACCTTTGTCATCCGTTTCCTCCGCAGAAAACGCTTCGCATGTGCTCATCAGGATTGTGTTCTCAACAGCCACCGCATGCACCTTGGTCTCCACCCTCCAAGTGTCAATCAGATCGGACGATTTGGCGGCATTCACCCTGCCAGCCAAGTGTGCAAAGAAGCCAGACCTGTCTTTTGGGCTATTGCAAGTCGTAAGACTTCTTCGTTGACTGGGACTCGGTACTCGCTTGCCATTTTTCGATTGTGCTTCTAGCGTATCGTCAACCCCTGTGTCTGTATCTCGAGCTGAGGCGTGAACTGCCACAAGCGAGCACGTTCCCAGTACTTGGTAGCCTAACTCGAGAGCACACTGGCCGGGTGTGGCGTTAGCTGGGAAATCGTTCTCAAAGAGCTGGTCGCTTTCTTGTTGTCCACCACGGTGCCTTGTTTCGTCGGAGCCAGCTGTCAGTTCTTCTAGTGTCGAGCAGATTATACTCTCCTGCTCTGCAGCCTGCTGAAAGAGCAGCAGGGGGTACGACAACGTAGACACCTTGAGCGAGTCCTGCAACCGTTGACTAGTGGAGTAACCGCGACCCCGCTCTTTTTCGGACGCGCGCACGATCCAGTTTTTTAGCCAGAGGTACCGCCAAACTAGCCGAATGTCGTGTGGGTTCCAGAACGAGATCAATTCTTCAGCGACAAGTGGGTGATACTCTTCCCGTGGTGACATAATCATCATCACGGCACGCCGGAAGAGTGCTGTGAGTCGAGTTGACCCTTGTATCGCCACTTCCTCATCAAATATTCCACCAGGATTGTAAGCAAGTTCTGCCTCTCGCTTTGCGTTTTCAAACGAGACTTTCACGACAGGCTCCATCAGTTTTTCCTTCAGCCGCTTTTTCACGTCAATCTTTCGCTTGCCGAGTTTCCGAGTGATAGCTACAAGACCTAAACCAGTCCGCGAAACCGTAGAATTTCGAAACGCAACTTGCTCCTTCTCGCGCTGCAAACCTTGAGGAACAGTCACTCTCCATCGACTTTTGCTGCTGTCGATGAAATAATCCACCAACAGCTTTTCGTGCACCTTAGTCCATGTGAGCACTCCCGACTTTGACTGGCCTTCGTCTCCCGAACTGTTCTTGTGCTTCTTCCTCTTACGTCGTTGAACACCAGGATCATTACTCAGCTCATCCCCGCGCTGAAACACTCGCCGTCTCTTACGAAGTCGGATGTTCGTAGACACGATACCACCACTCTTACACGGTTTAGTGTCACCACCGCCTTCACGCTTGTGTTTCGGTAAAGGTTTCCTCGATTTTGGTATCCAAGCAAGAATACGCAGCATGCGCCGAGCACGAGTTTTGACTGGTTTAGGTACCCCACGCACAACTGGTTCGTTTTTACGTGGATTATCCACTTCCGTCGTCATTTCTTCAAGGCATAGACACTCGAGGGCCTCCCAGTAGCGATCGACATCGCAGGGCGACTCGAATGAAAACCGCAACGGTACCGAATTGCCAAAGCTGTACGTCTTCTCCCCAAACTCAACAAAGCGAACCGTGATGGTTTCACTCGCACTGTTGCGCCGTGAACCCGCCTCGCTGTCGCCCGGAACAAAGCTATCATCCCTGCGACGTTCGTCCAAAACGATCCGGGTCTGCCTGTTGAAGCGAAAAAGCCCACCGAGGGCATTTTCATTCAGCGCACGAGAAAGCACACCGTCACGCCCGTCGGTGTACCCTGCTCGAAGGATCTTGACGAGGCGTTTCATTCCAATCTTGTGCGGTAGAACCAGACCCAAATCCGCCAGAGTGCCCAAAACTTTTGCGGTACGCTGAGACTCATGACTCCAGATCTTTTTGCAAAGTGCCTCTGGAATCGCTTCAAACGTGCGACGATGCTGAATGGCTTCCTCCATCATAGCAAACTCAGCGCCTGTCAAAATCGTCCCACCCGAGAAAACTTGAATATACAAATGCACAGGCATCGAGTGCAGCACTGATTCGCGAGAAAACACAATCCCTGGTACAGACTGCTGTTGCTGCTTTTGTCCGCCAGTATTATAGCACCCGTCTCTATCCATACTTATGTCTGGGCTGATCAAATCGCTATCTTCGCCCGGCAGCTGTAAGCTTGATCCGTTCTCATGCAAAACTTTCCATAAAAACTGATGCAGGACTTTACACCGATACATGACACCGTATGCAAACCCGAGCTTCCGGTACTGCTGGTTATGAATTCGACATTTTTGCTGACTCACAAAGCGCCAGATCTTGTAGCTGATTTCAGGCGAGGCAAGATTGCACACCTTCGATTCGACGCCAGGAGCTTGCGAAAGTGCTTCAGAGCTACCATCCTTGCTCTCCAATATAGCGTCCAAGGCTGTAGTTTTTGTCGTGGACTCATCAGTCTTTACGTCCGGCAACTTAGATCTCCTCCGCCTCCTCTTTCGAACTGGCTTATGCTCCACCCCATCGTTGTTGTCGCTTCCGAATGCGTGAAAGCGAATGACTTGACTATTATCCGTGTTCCGGTAGATGCGCCGTAAACGCTCGTCACGACAGTAGTTCTTGACAAAGCTTTGAATAAATACGTCATTTTGCTCATATCCTGGAGCCACCACACAACGAAGAGCACGGAACTTGGTAGACACATTACGAGCAGGCAACGGAAGCTGCAGAAGCCGCAACTTTTTCCCCGCTTCCAAATCAACTGCAATGCGAAAGATCGACCGAGTGTCCACTTTACCCACTGCAGCTGGAAGCATCGGACCGCTTCCATTGTTAAGAACGGTGGGACCGCCACCCGAGTTGGACGAATTCAATAACACATTCGCTTCCGCGCGCTGCTTCTCCATGCTGAACACACTGGCACATAATGACGACAAACTGATGATCTTCTCATCCTCGAGCCGCGCCAAGATGTGCTCACGACGTCGAGCGCTGGTGCCATCCACTTCCGCTCCTCCGAGTGCCACTTTCAGCGCCTTCTTGGATCGAGTCGTGTACGCTCCGTCTACCTTCTCTCTAGCAGCAGCTTCCTCATTCGCACCTTCTTCTGACTGCGTCGATAACACCAATGGGCCATCTGCTACGTCGGATGGAGATGAAGCCACGTTCGGCGCCATCGAGTCCACGTACAATCGGAACGCCTTGTTCTTTCCCAGAATGACCGACTCAGCTTTCAAGTTGTACGTCGCCGCCAACACGCCCACCAACTTATATGGCAACTTGCTCCCAGGAAGCACAATTTGATTACGCAGATCGATAATGGTGGCACCGTTTCCAGCACTGTCTTCGATAACGCCATAGATCTGATGAAGCAACCCGAGCTCCAAGACAATCCCTCGACGGCAGACCGCGCTTTTTTCCGTGTCCGGGGGCTTGTACCGCACGCAATTCAAAATCTTAGGCTCGAGACTCGCGCGTCGCGTCGGTTGCAAGACTGCCTGAAACAACTCTAGCGGAAAGTTGTCGTCTGTCTTGCACTCCTGCACAATGTGTGAGCGCAGCACCTCCAGGTGCCGCTTGTTCAAACTCAGGTCCCGTCCGAGATCCGACAGCACCGACGAATGTGTCGGCAGTCTTTTCAAGTACGTCTCTGCAGCTGCGCACAAGATCTTCTTGCTCTGGTCGTCCGACTCAAAACCAGCCGACTCGTCAAACATCTGCGGCTTGAACTCGGCTGCAAACCGCGGCAAGTGAATGATGTTCAGCCGTCGCATTGCTGGCCGCGCGACAATCATCATCCGCTTGACTACTAAACTGTAGGAGATCAGCGTGTCGAGAGAATTGTGCAGTCTCTTGACGTTGCCGCCTCGCAACAAATCAATCAGCGCCGACACCGTCACGCCCTGCACTCGAGCCCGACCCACAGCTTCGAGAATACGGAGATGAGCGTCTCCGAGGTCAGCAGCAATGGCCTTTATCGGGATATTAAGCGCTCGGTGTCGCAGCTCTTCACACGCTGCCACCATCAGCTCCTGCTGTTGCAGCTGCTTCTCGTGCACCACGTTCTCGTACGTGATCAGCTCCAGCTCTTCTTCCGTGAGCGCTACCGACACATCTTCAGCAATAGCAGCAGCAGCAGTAGCAGCCGTCGCAACGCCAACTCGATCGGCGTCGAGCACCTCCTGCTTCATCGCCACGCGTTCCTCGTCGCTGTCTGCATCGCTACGCGCTCTCGGTCGCGGCCGCTTCTTACTGTGCATATGACTGACCGACACGATGGAGCGCCGAAAGAAGCGCAGGACGCCCCGCTTCGAGCGCAGCCGCTGCCACAACTGGCAGCGCAGCCGCACGTCATGGGACGGATCGATCGCCGAGAACAGCTCCGCGACTGAGACGCCCGCGCTGCCTTCGAGCGCGACGTAGTCCATGCACGCAGCCACGAGCTCGCGAGGCGACCGCATCCTCTCGTCGTGGACGAACTTTAAATGGTGTGCACAAGTTCAGGATCGACCTAATCTGAGGTGCGCCACGCCACATAAGGTGCGACCCGTCCACCAGCGCGCACTTCTTCCGTTACAGTCACGCGAGCGATGCAGTCGACGGCGCGTCGCTCGCTATGGCGCTGCGTAACGACGCGCGGGCAGGCGCAGCAGCCGCTGCTGGTGCGTGGAGTAGCGAATCAGGTGGACGCAGTGCGCGCAGTAGATGCGGTCGAGCGACGTGCAGCGCAGGAGCCGCTGCCGCGCAGCGCCACAACGAGCAATAAGAGCTTTAACCTCATGAGCGCACCGTCGCTGGTCACGAGAGAGGCGGCAGGGGCGGAAGCTGTTGCTGGAGGGTGTGGTGAGACGTGGCACTTGCACCGAAAGAAGGACAGACGGGACGGACACAAAGGCAACAAGAAGCGCAAGTGGTGGGCGGACATGGACCGCACGTCGTTCTGTTTGCTGCTGGCGGAGCAAATGAGCTCTACCAAAGTCTTATCCGTGCTACGAAAGGTACGAGCGATGAGACAGTGGCACTTTGTCGTTGCTGCTGCCGCTGTATGGTCCAGTATGGTCCATACGTGTGTGTGTGTGTGTGTGTGTGTGAAGACTGACTGACTGACGGTGTTGTGGGGCTTTCTCTGTCTGTTATAGTTCATGGACGAGTTCCCGATTCTCAACAACCACTGGTCCGACCAGGAGCTCGTGATGATCGTTTGTGCCCTCATCAAGATGAACCGAAGCGATACAGCGCTGCAAGTGCTGCGCAACCAGGTGCAAGAACCGGACCGCGAGCGCCTGAACCGAATTGCAGCAGCGAGCGCCAGGCTTGGCAACGCGCAGGTCGCTCTGGGCGTGCTGGAGATCACGAAGCACTTTCAGCTGCAGCCCGACGTTATCACGTTTACCAGCGTCATTCATGCGTGCGCCCGTGGTAGGAGGTGCGACGTACCCGTAGCGCTGAACGTACTGAACGACATGGTCTTTGCCGGTGTGAAGCCGAATGCGCGCACGTACGGTGCAGTCGCGTTGGCATACGCGCGGTTGGGGAGATGGGAGGACATTCAAGAACTCTTGGGCTCGATTTCGTACGCAGACGACGAGCACAAGACCGAGGTGTTCACGTGCGCGATCATCTCGTGCTCGCGCAACCACCAGCATGGCTACGCTTCTCGGCTTTTTGAGCTGTTGCTCGAAGATGGAGTATACCCGGGTGATAACGTCTGCAACTCCGCACTCAGTTCCTGTGCGCGGACGTCTGACTTGGCCCAGCTTCATCGCATACTCAAGCTCGTCGAGTGCCACGCAACGCCTTCGACGTACTCTTACAACTGCATGATCTCGGCATACGGCAATGCGTGCAGAATGGATGATGCGATGCGAGTTTTCGAGGACATGTGGAAGCACTCTTCGGTTGCACCCGACATTGTCTCGTTCAACTCGTTGTTGGTAGCTGCCGTGCGTTCGCGAAAGACGGATATGTTTCCATTCATCTTGTCGCTCATGAGCGAAGCTGGTCTGAAATGGGATGCGTACACGCTGAACATACTGTTGCAAGGATGTGCGCTGAATGGTGACGTTCAGACAGCAAAGCGCTACTGGTCCGAGGCGAGTCAAGGCAAGGGAGCAGACTTGAAGCAGTCTCCAATGGACAGACAGTGCGTCATACTCGATCGCGCACACTTTGAAACCCTCATGAGTGTTTACTATGCGGCAAAGGATTACCAGTCGATCGTGGATATGTGGTTGAAGGACAAGCTCTGCCGCCGTCGCGCGAAGAGCTCCAAGGCGCTCAACTTTTTGATTCGCGCATGCAAAGGTCTGAAGGACGATAAGCTCGCAGCGACAATCCTGGCCCAGTTTACTGACCGCGGACATCCAGTGTCTCCTATCACGCACAACCACATGCTCGAGGTGTTTCTCGCTGCCGACAAGTTCGTGGATGCGGCAGCTCATCTGCAAAAGATGATCGGTATGGGAGGAGTGGCGTCCACCTTCTCGTTCACAGTCCTCATGACGTACTTGGCGAAGAATGATCGTCATTCGGATGTGCTTGCGATGTTTGATCTATACCTGGAAACTCGCGAGGCTGTATCAAAAGGGCAGAACCCACTGCTGCATTACCCAGCGGACGCGATCTATGTCCTGACGATGCGTTCGGCCGCCAAGTTACAGGATCACGAGACAGTGCTTGCCATCTACGATGGGTTGCCGACCCAGATGTCCATGGCTGTTCGAACGGAACTACTCGTGCTGGCCATTTCGTCATGCGAGCAAGACGGCGACTGGCGCGCTGCAGTCACGCTGTTTGACGACCTGACCGGCGAGCTCGACGCCGAGATCAATGTGGAGCTGTACAAGCAAGTCGTCAAGATTGTCGCCAGTGCTGGAGAGTTCGATCGTGCGCTTGACGTGGGCGGTGGACAATGGTACCGCCAGAACCGGCCTGACCAAGGCTGGGGGCTGTAGCTTGGTGTAGGGGCATTGCGGGACAAGTGCGCATGCGCTGGCTGGTATTCGGTGAGGCCGCCGCCATGGCAATTACCACACGTCTGCACGGACATAACTATTGTCTATACAGTAACCGTACTTGTCTGCACCCAATGCTGTTCTGTCTACACGTGCTTGGCAAAGCCCCCACAGGGGTGGAGAACGACAAGGGTGAGCATGACGACACAGGAGTGGAGAACGACAAGGGTGAGCATGACGACACAGGAGCTAGAAACCAGTTGCCACTCACCTCTACTCCATCCACTTGATAGAGCCCACCAACAAGTTCCGCGACGGTAGCGGACCTGGCGAAGGAACAAGCAGCACGAGTTTCTGATCGGCCATCCGAACCTCCTTACTGTTTGGCCACGTGAACAAAAGGTCAGCCAGCGCAGCAGCCCACCAGTAGTGCAACGTCACGCACACGCACGTACACGAAAACAAAACCGGCAGCAGGGGCTTCCAGCAGCAGCGACGGATCCATTGACGACGAAGGCGACGCGTTTTGGCCGTGTCGCGGGTGAATCACTGCAGCGAGCGAGTGGCTCAAGTCGGGTGTCTTGTCAACGGGCACGGCACGCAAGCGGTCGGTCTGCGTCTCTACCTGACCCACGGGCAGCATCACGTCCGAGACCTTCATGTCTACAGCAGCACCACGTCACGCCACGTCAAGCAGCCGCCCCACGACGCCCACGCACCCACACACCACAGCCTCCCGCACTTCAAGCACAAGACGCGCACCTTTGATCATGAAGAACGAGACGTCGTCGAACGAGACCTCGTTGATGCAGGGCGACAGCGTCGGGATGGCCACGCTCAGCGAGTGGACGCCGTAAAAGTACTCGCGGATGCCGCTGATGCGCGCGGCCGCACGCAGTTTATTGTTCATGGGCACGACGCCGTCCGAGCGCGCGAGTTTGACGATCGAGCGGTCGGCGCCGCTGGCCGTCGCGCTTTTTGCCAGTGCACTGCTCTGCAGCAGGCGACTGTAGAGGCGGTCCTGGCCAATGACGAGCACGACGTCGACGTCAAAGGCCGTGATGGCGTCGACCAGCAGGTCAAAGCCCGCGCCGTCGACCCACCCGCTCGTGTCAATCACACAGCCCGAAGCGTTCACGGCGCTGTCTTGCGCGAGCCGCCGCTTGACCGTGCGCGCGAGCTGCTGCTGCTGCCACCGAAAGAGCTCGACGTTCTCGGCCGCGGCCGCGTGGCCGTAAAAGTACGCCACGGGGTTCGTCAGCACAAAGGCCTCTTGCACGCTGAGCGCGTTCATGTCGAGCGGCGAGGCCGCCAGCGTCCCGGGCACGCTGAGGCCGCCGCCGTGGCCCACGTCGAGCTCCACGAGCGTCGGCTTCTCGCCCACGCGCAGCGCGTAGTTGACGAGGAGCTGCGTGAGCGTCGACTTGCCGCTGTCGGCCGGGCCGCACACGAGCACGCGCGGCCCGGCCGTGTGCGTGTTGCGGGCCGACTCGCGGCGGCGCTGGAGCTGCGCGTGGACGTTCAAGTAGCTGTCCATGGGCGTGTCGGCCGACGCCGTGTAGGCCACGTCGGGCGCGCCGCAGACCTCGAGCGTGCAGCCGTACCAGGTGAAGATCGCGAGCTGCCGGTCGCGGAACGTGTACGTCCGGTCCATGGCCAGCTCGACGCCAAAGAGCTCGGCCGAGCCGCTCTGGAGGCGGATCGTCACGTCGCGCAGCGGCGGCACTTCCACGCGGTACTCGCCCGCGCGCGCGAGCTCGACGGTCGTCGAAGCGCTCATGGGACGGAGGGGGACGTGTGCGTACAAATGTGGGCGATGGCACGGGTTCGGCTGGTGGAGTTGCAGGACGGGTTTGGCTGGTGGAGTTGCAGGACGGGTTTGGATGGTGGGGTTGCAGGACGGGTTTGGCTGGTGGAGTTGTAGGACGGGTTCGGCGGCGAGGTCGTAGACACGGTAGTTGCACAGGACGGCTTTGACACCTGTGATACTTTATTTCCAGGACGGACGTGGCGGCCGACGTGTTGGGTTGACGAGGTTTTTTTCTTTCTTTCGTTTTGACAGGTCGACAGTGCTGTTTGTCGTGCGTTTTTGACACGACGGGATGCCGCGCACGGCTATCAAGCGGCAGGTGTGGGTCAGAGACGCGGCGGCGCGCCGCCACGCGACGTTAGCACAGCAACGCCAGTCGCGACGGGACCTCACGGCTCATGCGCGGCAGCTGGCACAGACGCATGAGCTGCTGCCGCTGTCGTTGGAGGACGGGAGGACGAGCGACGACGTCGCGGCTGCCCCGAGCAAGCGCAAGACCCGCGAGGAGCGCGTGAAGCAGCGACGCGCGCACTTTTGCAAGCAGTTGATGACGCCCGAGTGGATGATTGACGTGCCCAAGGACTTGAACGGTTGCAGCAGTGCGTTGGGCGAGGGCTGGTACGTGCTGCCCAGGCCCGAGGGCAAGCGCTGTCTCGTGGTCGCGCATGGGTACGCCGTGTTCGTACTTACGCGGGGTGTCAAAAATGGCATTGTTGACATGTGGCCAAACGAATGTTGACAGCTGGATGGACTGACTGACTGACTGACTGGTGACGTGGCTGACTGGATCATGTGCATGCAGAGGCAACACGATTGCTCGGATTCCGTCGGGAAACGTGTTGAAGAAGTTTCCATCGGCGCTGCCAAATGGGTCGCACAAGACGAACAAGTCCAGTGACGGCTACTGCATCTTGGACTGCATTTTCCACGAACAGAACGAGACGTTTTATGTGCTTGATGTCATGTGCTGGAAAGGGTATCTGCTGTACAATTGCACGACCGAGTTTCGCCTCTACTGGATGCGGGACAAACTGTCGGAAGGAGTGACAGCGGCCGTTGCGTCTGCGAATCCGTTTCGATTTCTGGTACGTGCGTGGTGCCACGATCGATCTTTCGATGACGAGTTTGTGGACAGAGCTCTGATTTTTGATGGACAGCCTGTTCCGTGCTACGAGAGCGATCCAACAGGGATCATGGCGGCGTATTCGACAACGTACCCGTTTCTCAAGTGCGTATTGTATGGATATAGGAAGTCTGTGCTATGCTGTACTCACGTGCTTTGCTTTGTACTTTTGTGCTTTCCTTTGTGTGTACCGATGTGTGTGTGGGGATGACGGTGACGCAGAGATGGACTTCTTTTTTACATGAAAGCAGGCCACTATGAAATGGGGCTATCGCCGTTGGCGTTGGTGTGGAAGGACAGCAACACGAGTCGCTTCTTTGTGTACTCTGCGAAGCCGTCGATCATCCTTCGCCTTGAAGGTGAGAACGAGTTTGCGACGCTAGAGGGTATCGCCCTGTTCACAGCCGATCAAGACTTCGTTCAGCAGCACGAGGTTCGATTGTCTGTGTGCTTTGCAGACTGCCTTGACAATAGCGTGCTTGCAGTGGTGGTGACTGGTACTGTACCTTCTTTTTCTGTCGCAGCTGAGCGAAGGAGACCTGGCGAGTTTTTCGTTTGAGCAGCACAAAGTCGACGAGAGCCAGGCTCCGCGTTTGACCGGCCTGACGTTTGTAAAGCGATGCTCGCCGCAGAGGGCCCTGCCAGATAGCTGGACGAAGATTTTGTTCCAGTACAATGCACGGTCCGGCGGTGTCCCAATCGAGCACATTCTAGAGGTGCGTGCGTCACCGCATCTCCGCCGAGCGCTGTTGTTGCTTACAAAGATGCATGTTCTGTACATGCAGGCCGCTCAGACGTCGCTGACTGAGGTTGAAATGGAAGGATAGCGCTGCTCTGTGATGAGTATTTATTCTCTCCAAGTGGACGTTCAGTCGAAGTGCAGGATCAGCAGCTGTCCGATCGCGTTTCGTCATGGCCCAACCTCGAAGTTTGTTGTACCACGTTTGCGATGCGCTATGATCGAAAACAATACCGTCTCGATGACAGGCTATACGGCATACCAGCTCATCAGTTGGCAACAGATTGCACTGCATCTGCAGGTATCGAAAAGAATAGGTAGAAAGTAGGCATTGTCTCTGAAGTCGCTCAGCTTTGTTCGTCGACTTTAACGCGCGTCGAAAGGACAGTCCGATGGTCAGTCGGTCAGTCGGTCGTGCACGTGCTGCAGTCAGCGTCCAAGTGTTGCAGTCGTACAAATGCGACCACCGGTCGTGCAACAGGACCGGCTCTGCACGTCCGTGACGACGACGACGTGTCACAGCGCGTCAGCGCCACGTCGACTGCGTCACCACTGCCGTCGCCCCCAAAAAGAACATCGAGCAACCGCAACGTCGTGACCGCTGACGAGCGACGTGGACCACCACACTATCGGCCCCCCGTCCGTTCTTTTTCCGCCCAGGCGGTCGGTCTGTCGGGCCACAGTAGTACCGCAGAGCGAACCAATGGGCCGCACGGGTGCAGCGGTCAAGAAGGGCGGCCTGGGCAACGCCCTCGTGCGCACGCAGAAGAAGGCGTCGGCCGTCCACACAAAGGACGTGCACTCGAGCGCCGGCAAACACGTGTCGGCGCGCGACGGCGGAGACGCGTCCGTGGCGCTGGCCTCGTACCTCGAAGGCTCGTCGCTGGTGCGCAATGTGCTGCCGTTGTACCCATGTTGCAATCACAGGAGATCGAGGACGCGGTGCTGACGGCTGTGTGTGAATTGCTGCTGCGGGTTTTGTTTTGTGGCTGTTGTGGCTGTTGTTGTTGTCGTTGTTATGTGTGTCGTGCAGGACGACTTTCTGGCGAGTGCTGTGCTGTCCAATCGCGAGTTTACGGCCGTGAAGGAGAGTATCGTGTTGATGGACGAAGCAGACACGGGCCTGCAGCTGGTGGAGTACGTTGTCGACTGATGGCCATCGCTGGTGCCGTGAGAGTGAGGGCTGACTGAGTGTCGTGGGTGGTAGGCGACAGAAGAGTGTAGTGCCAGAGATGACGTTTACCGAGATGAAAGTGCCGCGACGTCCCCAGTGGGACGCGTCAACGACGGCAGAAGAGCTGAATCGTTTGGAAAAAGAGTGTTTTCTTGCATGGCGTCGTGACATTGCAGTGTGAGTGGTGGCTGGCGCTGTGGCAATGATGGAGGGGCGAAGCGGGTACGCAGCACTGACACTGTGTTGCCATTTGGTGTAGTTTGGAGGCGTCGTCGGACCATTTGGAAGTGACGCCGTTTGAAAAGAACTTGGAGGTGTGGCGTCAACTATGGCACGTTCGCGAGCGGAGTGACGTTATTGTGCAGATTGTGGACGCTCGCAATCCGCTGTTCTACCGGTACGCCTCTCTTCGACGACTTTGGTCCAGCGTGACCCGTGATTGACATGTGAGCGGCTACGCTTTGACAGATCGACGGATCTAGATGCATACGCCAAGGAAGGCGAGACGCCTCGACGCACGTTGTTGATCGTGAACAAGTCGGACTTCCTGAACGACCGTCAACGGTAGGTAACGGTCGATCTCGTGTCCACAGTGCACGATCTCATGTCTTGGCGTGGCACAATTGGCTGTGGTTGTCTGCTGGTGTATAGGATCGCTTGGGGTGACTACTTCACAGCCGCGCACATCAGCTTTGTGTTCTTCTCGGCCAAAGAAGCTCAGGACGAAATCGATGAAGAGGCGAAAAGCCTGCGACAGAGTCAGAGAAACGCTGAAAGCCACAACGAGTACGGCGAAGTGGCGCCTGCGCAAGCACCACAGTCTGCGGGAGAAGAGACTGGCGCCAACGAGGAGGCCAGTCTGTATCCTGTGCTATCGCGCGTCGAGCTGCTAGAGTACTTGACTAGCATGGCTGCAGAGGTGCTGGCTGAGGTGGGCGTGCGAGTGAAGGACAAGGGCTTGATCAAGTATGGCATGGTGGGCTTCCCTAATGTCGGAAAGAGCTCTGTGATCAATGCACTGCTGGGTGCGTCGACGTATTCGCACAAGACGCAGCGTGTTGCTGTTGGTGCGACTCCTGGCAAGACGAAACACTTTCAGGTATGGATCCTTCCTGTGTCGCTGTGGCCATGAAGCTCGGCGGTTCTGACGTGTCTGTGTGTCTGTGTTCTGTCTGCTACGACCTGCAGACCATGATCCTGTCCGACAAAATCATGCTCTGCGATTGTCCTGGTCTCGTCTTTCCCAGCTTTGTCAACTCGAAGGCCGAGATGTGCTGTTGCGGTGTGCTGCCCCTCTCGCAACTTCGTGATCACATCTGTGCGTCGACGTTTCTGTCGTTGGTTTCGCTCCCATTCTGCTGCAGATGTTGCAGTTGCTGGTCATGGTCTGACGCTGTGTCTATGTGCTTTGCCCACACTGTCCAGCGCCGTGCCAACTCTTGTGCCACCGTATCCCGAAGCGAGTGCTCGAGCGAACATACGGCATTCATATTCCCACGTCCAAGACGGCCAAGGAAACGGATCCCGTTGGCATTTACGCGCTTCTCGAGGTGCGTACCGGAGCGTAACTCGTGTTGGTATCTGCTGCCATATCTCATCTCTGTTCCTGCTAGGCGTATGCCCGCAATCGTGGGTACACGACCACTGGCAAAGGAGGACCCGACACGTCACGCGCAGCACGCGACATCTTGCGGCACTACGTGAATGGCCGACTGCTGTATTGCCATTCCCCGCCGAATGTATCGGACCCCTCCATCTTCGACATCCACGTGCTCGCTGCGACTCAGTTTCCTGACCCTGTCGAGGGTTCGATCGCAGAGGAGAAGAGCGGTGCAGACAGCGTCGATGAAGCGACTGGTCCGTTGACCGAGTCACCGACTGAGGAGGAGGGGCTGGACTTTGACACCATTGTCGACGACAAGTCCATTGTGAGCAAGCGGCTGAAGAAACACGGGCGAAAAGGACGCAAGGGACGCGATAAAACGCCGTACGAAGACTCGGACTTGCCGGGCGGTGTTGCTGGAATTCACATCAACGTGGGCGGCAAGAAGAAGCACCGCAGACCGTAGTGCGAGGATGATAATGGCCCGCGCACAATACTCAGAGGACGGAAAACAACAGTTAGCAGCACCGCGAACAATGAATGGATCGTCGAGACCGTTCTCATTCATCGATTGATCTTCTGTGGCTTCTGAACTACTCCTTCTTCTTTGTCGCCACGTATGCATGTACACTAAATCCGCGCGTCGACGAGACCGGCGAGTGAGGCCACACACTACGGGAAGGGGACACATGCCTCGCTGCACGTTCACTGCCTCAAAGAGCAAAGTGCAGCTACTGGAAGCTGAAACGCTGCTGGCGCACCTGCTCCGGCCAAGTCCCTTTGCTTCGGTTCCGATCCCTCTTCGACGAACGTGCCAGAGCGATCAAGGAGCTCGCAATGGGTCACACGGAAAGCCTAGTTGCCCTTGTGGTCTTCGTCGATAGTATCCGCGTTGTACGTAAAGCCAGGGAACTGCGCCTTGTTGCGCTGCGTCTCGCTCATCGTCGTCGTCACGACCGAGTCCACAGGCTTCTCGGCAGTAAACTCGACGTCAAAGTTGCTCGTGTCCATGGAGCCCAATCGATTGGGCGGCTTGAACTCCGGCTGCACCTCCTTGCGTAACACAGCTTCCCAGTCAATGCCCTTGAAAAACGGATGCGACTTGATCTCTTCAGCGTCCGTCGGGCCGCTACCGAGGCGGTCCGCCACCTTACGCGTGAGCAGACCCGTCAACAGATCTTTCGCCTCTGCTGACATGAACGACGGAAAGCGCAGCGGCGCATTCAAGATCTTGTCGTACATGCGCTGCATATTCTGGTCATAGAAGGGCGGGAGACCCGTGAGCATCTCGTAAATGAGCGTCCCGAGGCTCCACCAGTCCACAGCTTTGCCGTGGCCCTTGTTCTCTAGAATCTCCGGGGCCAGGTACTCGGGCGTGCCGCAAAACGTCTTGGTGCCGCCCGTCGCGCCGGCGCCAGTGACCGCCTCTTTTGACAGACCAAAGTCCGTCAAACGAATGTGGCCCTCTAGATCCAGCAGAATGTTCTCCGGCTTCAAGTCGCGGTAAATGATGTCGTGCTTGTGCAGTTCGTGGAGTGCGAGGATGATCTCCGCGGCAAATAGACGCGCCTTCTGTTGCGAAAAGCGACGATCTTTCTTGAGCCAAAAGAAGAGCTCGCCGCCGCCGCAATAGTCCATGACGAGGTAGAGCTTGTCGGGGGTCTGGAAAGCATACGTGAGACTCGTCAAGTACGGGTGCTTGATGCTCTGCAGAATGCTGCGCTCGGTCTTGGTGTGCAGCAGCTGGTTGCGCTTGACGAGCGCGGCTTTGCGCAGCGTCTTCATGGCGTAGATCATCTTGGTGTCCTTCTTGCGCACCATCATAACCTTGCCAAAGCTGCCCTTGCCCAGCACCTTGAGCAGGTCAAAGTCTTCCACGTTCACTTTGGTCTGCGGCCGTGCCGGACCGTCCATGTCTTCAATGGCCACCTGCTCGACAGGACCCGAGTCGTCGTCCTCTAGATCGGCTAAAGGTCCACAAGAGCACAGGGGAGGGGGGAGAACGAGAAAGAAAGAGACGCAGCAAAGAGCATACACCAACACAAGTCCGTCGATACTGTCAGTCACGCAGCTGCCACCCCATTCGCTCAGATAGAGCCAGTAAGATACGCCGCAGTACAAACACGTACACTCGTCTTCGTTCTGCTGCTGCTGCTGTTGGCCCTGCGTCTGCCCCGCAGCCGACGAGGGGCCAGTAGAAGGGCACGACGGGGCAGCGGGCGCGCTCTTGCCGGCGTCGCGTCCGCCGTTGGCGTAGTTGCCAAACTTGAAGCCGCGCGAGTCGCTCTTGATGGGTGGGCGGAGGCTCTTGGAACCTTTGGAGCCTTTGTTGCCCATACGTGTCGACGTCTAAGCGGTGCAGAGAGGGGGAAAGACGGGCAGAGAGAGAGCGGGAAGACGGGCAGAGAGCGCGGGAAGACGGGCAGAGAGAAATGTATCGGAGGGGAACCTGAGCCGATGAACGAATACGCAAATGAGAGAGCGGCGTCAGTGAGGGAGCGGTACAAAGAGACCCCACGACGGCGGGGGGCAGAGGGGGCGAGCGACTCGATACGACGCGCAGCGTCTGGACGGACGGACGGACGGACGTCCGGTGGTCCGTTTGTCGGTTCGTTCGTTCGTACGTACGTTCGTACGTATGTCTGTCTGTCTGTGCGCACCTGAGAGAGCGAGAGGGCCTTTCCAATGCGCGCACGAAATCGGGACTGCCCCGATCATCCACCACGCGCGGCCCGACAACGTGCTTGCAATCTGACGACAGGGGGCGTTCTTATACCGGCAGCAAGTGCGACCGACCGGGCGTTGATGCTGAGTTTGTATGCGTTCCAACCGACCGACTGACCGAGGCGACACCCTTCGTGCTACTTCACCAGACGGTTCAGCGGGTCGGCAGAACCGGGCCGGTCGGTGGATCGCCCTAAGTACGCCATGAGCACAAGAGCGAGCGAGCGAGCGAGCGAGCCAGCGGACAAAGGAGATGCTCGCGTCTCTTCTCGTTTGTAGGCCATACAGTGGACGAGTGAACCGAACGGTCGCACCTCGTGGGGGACGCCAGCTGGACCACGACCGCTCGCTCACTCGCTCCCCTCACGACGAGAGTGTCTTTGACCGACCGATTGACCGACTGACCCGACAACAACGAGCGATAGGCGCTCTATACACCTTTCTGCGTGTCTCGGTGGTGCCAACACACACACATTCGTCGAGATTGACTCCACCATCTTTACCCAGCAGTTCCCTATGCTCATTGGCCACCATGATCACCCCCCATCACGAGGCTGCTTGGGCTGGGTAAGTACGTAGGTAGAGGTGGGTACACTTGCAGGCTGTGAGCAACGTTCTTGCCGAGTCAAGCGTAGCTCAGGACCGAAGCAACGACCGGTCAACTTCTGCAGCTGGTGGGTAGCGTTCGTGTAGAGGTCGGGACAAGACGTTTGTCGTAGCGTCCCTAGCGATAGGATCAATCAATCGATCAGTCGATCAGTCGATCGATCAGTTGATCAGTCGATCAATGGATCAATGGATCAATGAACCCATCAGACGGTCATAGCGTGACACGGTCGGATGCTTCAAGCGTCGGCTGCCCCACCTTCCCCCTCGACCACAGTGCATTTGTCGTGCAGCTTCAGTGTCGGCCACGTGAGACGCGGCGTGTTCCGCTGCATCAACTTGCGTTGCTGCCCCGGGCATCTGCCACACGAGGGAAAGCAGCGCCGGGCTGTTCAGTAGCGCTTGACGCGACAGCACTAAGGCATCTTGACGTCTACGCGCTCGTTTCTGGTGGCACACGGACCACCGCCAGTGGTTGCAGCAGCGCTCATTCGGACCTTCGACAGGGTCCGTTTCGTGTGGGTCATCATCACCACTGCTCGTGCCGCATTCCTGTTTGACAGACGGCCGTTGGTGGTCGCCCACCAGCTCTTTCCACGTCGTCGGCGCGAGTGGCTCGACCTGAGTTCACTCGGCCGCTCATCCATAATGGCCGCCCACTGCGCCTCGCGTGCGCCTTCTACAACCCCAACACGCACATACACTGTCGCCCATTCGTTCGTTCGTTCGTTCGAAATTGGGAAAGTATTCATTTTCATACAGAGCGCGAGAGGAGGAGGAGGAGAATCGGCACGAGCGTACAACAACTCAGTCGACAACGGGGAGCGAGTGGCTCTTGCGTCCGTTTTTTTGCGTCTCGACTCGAGCACGCGCGAGGATCGAAGCGCAGCGTCTATGGCCTACGGTGGTACCCCTCGCACCGCAGTCGCAGAGCCTCTCGAGCGATCGCCAGTCAGCGGCTGACTGACTGACGGAGTGAGTGGGTGTCCACGGGACATTCTGCCAATCAGTCGTCCAGCTCGCCCGATGGCTTCGAATCGGAACTAGACGGAAAGATACGGTGGTGCGACGCGCGCTCTCTCTCTCTCTCTCTCTCTCTCTCTCTCTCTCTCTCTCTCTCTCTCTCTCTCTCTCTCTCCCCTCTCTCTCTCTCTCTCTCTCTCTCTCTCTCTGATTCTCTACCCCCACGTCGCCAGTATCACGCAATCACTCGGTCGATCTTGGGCTGACAACCCCCAGGTGACACAGGCCCCCGTGGCAGTTGCCCCCCAGTCGGTGGCACAACGCGGAGCTACAGGCACCGAATCGACCACCAATGTGTCAAGTCAATCGTCCAGCCAATCGCCTCGTCGTCGTCGATACAGTCGGGTGCCGCACTTACTGAGAACGCGCCCCGGGTGCGCGAACCCTTTTCGTGAGCACGCCGCGTCACCACCACTTGCGCTCCCGCCCAGTGCCATGAAAGCCTTCGAGACGGCCTCGTCACCCACACCGCCGGCGCTGGCGACCGCTGACGCCGGCGACGTCACCGACCTCGAGTTCATCGGCGCCACGAACCGCGACATGTTCTCGTGGCTGCTCTTCAACTCGGAGAACATGGCGGCTGTCACCAGTGGCCTCGCGGCAGTCGACGCGCCGCCCGCGTCGCTAAGCGACGACCCCTTCCGTCTGCTCGCATCGGGCAGCGACGACGCGGGTCTGTCGCTCGGGCCCACGAGCGCTCTTCCGAACGAGACGCTGCTGTCGGCCGTGACGCCCGTCACGACGACAGCGCCCGCGACGCCGTCGGCGCCGACGAAGCCGCTCGCGACCAAACGGGGCAAGAAACGGCCGCCAGTGGGTACGGACGCGGCAGCGAAAGAGCTGCTCGCGGCCAAGAGCGCAGTGACCAACACGGAAGGGCTGTTGCGGCACTTGGAGAGCGCGAACAATGCGCTCGTGCAGAAGCGACAAGCGGGGCAGAAGGCGACGTCGTTGTCGGCCACGTCGTCGACAATGGCAAGGGCGCCAGCCGACAAGGCGTCGACGTCGAGCAGCGGCAGCGACAACAGCTCGAGCGACGTGACGACGTTGCAGCGCAAGCTGAAGCTCGAGCGCAATCGCGAGTCAGCGCGCGAGTGTCGGCGTCGGAAGCGCGAGCACATTTTGGGCGTCGAGGAGCGCTGTCGGCAGCTCGAGCGCGAGAACATGGAGCTCCGTGGACAGCTCAAGGCGGGGAAAGAGGCGATTCGACAGGAGGAGCGGGAGAAGAACCGCGTGTGCGAAGAGCTCGAGAAGATGATCCAACTCGGCGCCTCGGAGAAGGAGCTGGCCGAGAAGATTGACAACTTTAAAGAGCAGTACTCGGACTATGGCCATGGCCGCCGGTCGGCGCTGAGCTACCACTTGCATCAGATCGAGCGGTTGCTCTTGCCGACGCAAGTGACGAAAATGTGCATCTGGGCGCTGCGGCAGGACGACAGTTTCTGGCAAGACGAGGAAGACGAGACGAGTTTGCCCGTGATTTTGGCCAAAGAGCTCGGCCTGAGCGAAGACCAGAAGAAGAAGATCCAGCAGCAAAGAGGGTCGATCTCGCTGATCTGCGAGAACCTCAAGAGTGCACTGGGCCTGCTGGCGGAGCTCAAGACGGAAGTGACGAACAAGAACTCGACGCTGGACATGGAGATGGACAAACTGCAGAATATTCTCACCCCCACTCAACGCGCCAAGGTTTGTACAATGGGCTTGCTCGATGTTGGATACACGAGGGGTTTGACGATGGGCAGGGAGACTGGGAAGTATGCTAACGGTAGTGTCTTGTGTTTGTGTGTCTGTTGTTGTTTGTGCGCTAGTTTATTGTGTGGGTGACCAACAACCAAGCGTGTATGCATTTGCTGAACAAGCTGTGGCGAAGTGTGCTTTGACCAAGCGGTGAACGCATCGCTTGGATGCCATTGTGGACTGTTAATGCACAAAGTCGTAAGAAACGTCGCTGGTGTCTCTGCCGCTTGTTTAGAGTTCCCGTGGCTGCTCTGGCGTGTGATCGGACGGATCGGGTCTTGATCCGGGCAAGAGTTGAAGGAAAAGATTTCTGAAGCTCCGGGAAGCAAGCGCACGTGTCGTGTGGGTGGCTGTGGACAGCAGAGATTTGAACGTCCGTGCGTTTGTCCCGTGTGGCTGCTCGATCGACTTTTCTCTCTCTCTGGCTCTCTACGCGGCGGCACGGACCGTGTGTTTTGCAGCAGCAGCAGCAGAGAAAGGGCACAGGGACTACCCATATGTGTGTAAAGTAAAATTTGCTTTCGGAACCCCCTTGGCTTGATTTGTTGCATCGTCGGTATGCTTCGCTAGATGCCAAGCGCGCAATCGTTCTATCATCGGTCGGCTGGCTCGCTGGCTGGCCGGCTAGACGTTACACTGTTCTACATGTCATAACGGTAAGTATCACTTGGGCGGTTCCAGCAGCGAGCGACGCAAGCGCTTCATGTGGTTGTTCCATTCCTGACCATTCGGGTTCGTAAGTCGGTACTGCAGCTCTTCCTCCGAAATGCCTTCGGCCATATTCACCAGCGAGCCGAGTACAGTGCGAATGTAGTTGGCGCAGTCCTTATCCGGGCGAGCGCACTTGAAATTCCACAACCCCTTGTCGGCATTGAAGCCGAATTCCAGCACGGCTTGGCGGTTGGGCATCCTCGCGACCAGTTTGAGCACCACTGGCACGTCTTTGGGATCCAAGCGCACCACTGAGTCTAGCTCAACGAGCGAGTTGCGGGGCCCCCCGCACGATAGCTGAACACCGTCGCCTGCCTGATTGAGTGTAGCCATGAAGTCGATCGTGATAAGGTCCGACCACTTCCACTTTAGATATTCTTGGTGGGTGTTCGTCACGTACTTTGTGTTGGGGCAAAACACTACTCCGTCCGTGTAATGCACACGTTTGTCGTCACTGTAGATGCGGCCGAGACTGTGGTCGCGCTTTTGCACGCGCTGGATCTGACGAAACACGTCCATGATGTGGCGATGCGGCACCCACTTCTTGCGCAGAATGAGCATGATAGCGTGGCGATTGATGTCCAGATTGCGTATACCCAAAGCGTATGGACCACTGCATCGTACAAACAAAGATACAAAACGAGACACACGATCAATACCGCACAATCTGCACAGTCAGCACTTGCGGAATACAAACAAACGTACTCTTCCGACAGAAAATCATTCAGGATACGAAGACGCTCCACAAACGGCTTGTCGACGTGTGAGTCTTCTGCCGATGGACCCGTCGCGATAATGTCAAACACAATAAACACGTAGCGTTTGTCTTTCTGGTGAAACTGCACGTCAACAGCATGAACAAGTTAGCATCGTTGGTAGCCAGCTCCCTTCCACACAACAACACACCTAGCTCGTGGGGTCGAGCCTAGTCACGTACCACAAGCTCGCCGTCGAGCACTGTGCCTTCGGGCAACACCAGCTTGAGCAAATCCAGCCCGGAGGCAGTGAAAGGCGAGTTGGAGCGATCGATCAGCACCGTAGTGCCGCCAGCCACAACGAGGAAGTAGCGCACGCCGTCCGTCTTCTCCGAGACAAAGTACTCGCGACTCTGTATCAGCGGAATGTGCCAGCGCGCAAAGCCCACGGGCATTGTGCCGCTAAACTTTCCACGAACACCCAGTCGTCCTTGGTACGCGTTCTGCACCTCGGTAGCCCCTGGAAAGTCCCAATGGCGCTTGAACGCCTGGCCGGCATTCGGCATAAAGTACTTGACCATTTTCCACAAGAGCGACGACGTTTCGATCGCACTTTTCCAGCTCTGTCCATTCTCGTCGGGTTGGCTGAGCCAGCCGTTGACCGCGGGCTCACAGAGCTCCACCTCCACCTCAAACAGCCTCTTGTTCGTGCTCTCTTCCAGCACTCTGGTCAGGTCGACGCGCAAGTCGCGTCCAACAGCTGACACGCGGTCCTTGTGGCGAATGGTCTCTGCTGCCGGCATCTCGCTCATGTCGCCTTCGAGCTCGCGCAAGGGAAACTCGCACGAGATCGACACGCGGCAGTCGTACGGGCAATGCGGCATAAAGATGTCGATCGAGCCCAGTCGCTCCTTCACTTGCACCATTGCGGGGCCGCGCACGTCCGTCTCGGGGTCCACGTCCTGCACCACGCGCTTCGACTGGCCCATGCTGTGCACGACCTGCTTCTCCTTGTGCTCCGAGTACGCGTCGCCGCGCAGCATACCCTCTACGCCGCGCACAAAGCCCTTGTAGTCTGCCTCGTCCACGCCCGGGGCGAACTTGGCCCCGACCGTCTTCATCTGCGTCTCCGACAGCACAATGGCCGCGTCGAGGCCGTCCTGGGAGGGGCGACAGCGCGCCTCCTGCAGACACGACGTGATCCGCCCGAGGCGCAGCTCGACCTCAACGGTCGCGCCAAAGCCCTTGTCGTCAATGACCGCGCGCATGTCCTGCAGAAACTGCGCAACGGCCGTGTCGGGCGCCTCGGAGCTGTCGTCGACGGCGATCGTTTGGCCGCGACCGGCCGTGAGCTTCGCCACCTGCGCCTCCGCCTTCTTCGCCGTGAACGTCGACTCGTTCGTGCGGGACAGAGAGCTCAACATGGTGTCGAGCACACTGCCCGACGAGAGCGCCGAGTGCGCGCGCTTGGACATGGCGGGGACGGGGACGGACACTGGCGGCGGCGATGGCGCTGTTGCGGGCGGTGAAGCGGCACTCGGTCGAGGGGTATGCTGTTTTGTAGGCTCGGGCGGTGACGCAGGCGGGTTTGGGACGTCGGTGTTTTCGTTAGGTTTTGGCACTTCATGGCTTCTTTATTTTAATAATATCGGTAGCCCCGACGATAGGGCGGTATGGCTGCGTTGGAGACGCACGTGGCCGAGTTGACAATGCAACGCAGTTTAACAGAGTGGACCGAGTAGGACAACGAGAGACTTGCCGAGTGCATAGGTTGACAAGTACGACGGAATAGTCTCTTGTGTGTATGTACGGCAATAGCTGTGGAGCCGAACGCGACTTTGGGTTGAAGGAGGACACTTAACGGAAAGGGAAGTGCAAAGATGGCTGCAATCTTAGTCGATCGCGGGCGGTGATGGGGACCATCGGGAACAATACACGACACGCGGTCTTCGGCGTCTCAGTTGCGACGGCCAACTCGTTACTGGACCAGACGTCTGCGCTGTTGTGGTGGAGGCCGACGGGTCACGAACGTTTCGGTCGACAAAAGCTGAGTGAGCCGCAGTAGGTCTGTGGTGGTGCGTTCCTTCAGGTAAGTCAGATTGGGGCTCTAGTTATCGTCTTACCGCACGACCACATCGACTCAGTCAGTCCTTCGTATGCGACTAGAGTAGCGGCGCGATGCAACGACTGACTATCGTTGCAAACGCCGTGCGCCAAGAGCTCTCTTGCTGCCTCACGTCCCCTCTCTCGTCATCGGTGAAGAACAGCAGCAACAGCTTTAGCTGCAAGAGGTGAGAAATCGGTGCTAGGCATTCCTCCAAGCAGCATGCAGCGCCCATTGGGCTCTTGACGTTCCACTCGAGCCGAGTCGACCGGCGGATACAGGACTGGATACCGCCGTTTCCGCGGCGTTTTGCGTCGGCCGGACACCACACCGATCCAATGAATCTACGCGGCCTGTACGTCTGCAGAGCCGCGACGGCGGCCGTTTCGCACGGGCCCACGACGCGGTGTCTCAGTGCACAAAAATTTGCCCTGATTTCTGCCCGGCGTTCATCTGTCAACCGCACTGTCAAAAGGATGGGCGCCTCCTGCGATCGTACAACTGGGCGTACCCCTGTCGTGCATGTCTTTGCTGCAAGCCTCGAGACGACAGCACGTTCTTAGCCCCTACGTACGTGCATGGAGAGCAAGACGACCGTAGTCGCCACTCCCTGTTGTTGTGACTGTCTGCCCGTATGTCTGAATGTCTTCCATCTGTCTCACTGTCGGAGTGCCATCTATCTATCTATCTGTCTACCTGTCTGTCTGTTTGTATAGATGGGTGTGTTCTTGCAGAAAATCCTGTCGATGAATGTCGTTTCGTACGAGAGACTGTCCATGATCGCTGCATCATCACGCCGTGACACGTACTTCGTCGGTGTCACTCGATCGGGGGAAGGCCCCGCCCGCCCCGTGCGACGCCAGCCTTAGCGCAGCCCATAGAGTCACTGCGGTGGGGGAGCTGCACCCGTCCCTGCGATCTTTCCCCACACGCGTCCGAACAGCTCATTTCCTCTTTTGGAACGCCGAGCAAAGACGAAGATCTTCGGGTGGAAAGTGCCAGTCCCAGCGCTGCGCGGAGCCCGTGCGAACCCCAGCAACACCGCCCACAACATGGCGCCCTTTGACGCGTTCCGAGCCAAGATGCAGGCAGCTGGTCTGTCGACCGAGGCCATCCAGGCCTTTGAGTACTCGTACGAGGCGCTCGTGAGCGGCGAGACGGGCATGATCCCGGAAGACTCGATCAAGTCGGTGGACGACCTGCCGTACCTGGAGAACAAGGCCGGGAGCATCCGCGAGTCGATCAAGGCCGACCCGGCGCTCCTGAAAGAGACGGTCGTGCTCAAGCTCAACGGCGGCCTCGGCACGAGCATGGGGCTCGACAAGGCCAAGTCGCTGCTCACGGTCAAGGGCGACGACACGTTCCTCGACATTATGGCGAAGCAAGTGACCGAGTTGCGCAGCGCCCACCAGTCGCACGTGCGCTTTGTGCTCATGAACAGCTTCAGCACGAGCGCCGACACGCTCGAGTACCTGCAAAAGTACCCCGAGCTCGTCGAAGACGAGACGCTCGAGCTACTTCAGAACAAAGTGCCGAAAGTCGATGCGTCGACGATGGAGCCCGCGGGGTGCGCGTCGAACCCGTCGAAAGAGTGGTGCCCACCAGGCCACGGCGACTTGTACGCGTCGCTCGCGGGCTCGGGCAAACTCGACAAGCTCGTGGCGGACGGCGTCAAGTACATGTTTGTGTCCAACTCGGACAACCTCGGGGCGACGCTGGACCTGGACCTGCTCACGTATTTTGCCCAGTCTGGCAAGCCGTTCCTCATGGAGTGCTGTGAGCGCACCGAGAACGACAAGAAGGGCGGCCACTTGGCGGAACGCGCTGCTGACGGCCGTCTCGTGTTGCGCGAGTCGGCGCAGTGCGCGGACGAAGACGAGAAGGAGTTCCAGAACATCGCTAAGCACCGCTACTTCAACACGAACAACTTGTGGATCCGGCTGGACAAGCTCCAGGAGGAGCTCAAGCAGCAGGGAGGTGTCATTCGGCTGCCCATGATCAAGAACTCGAAAACTGTCGACCCCAAAGACTCGAGCTCGACGCCCGTGTTCCAGCTGGAGACTGCCATGGGTGCGGCAATCGAGTGCTTTGACGGAGCTGGCGCCGTGTGCGTCCCGCGAACGCGGTTTGCCCCTGTGAAGAAGTGCGACGACCTGATTCTACTGCGCTCGGATGCGTACGTGATCACGGAAGATTACCGCCCCGTCATTGCTCCGGAACGCGAGGGCGTGGCCCCGATCGTGTCGCTGGACTCGAAGCACTTCAAGTTGGTGCAGCAGCTCGAGGGTGCAGTGCGCGGCAACGTGCCGTCGCTGATCAAGTGTGACCGCTTGAAGATCACGGGCAATGTTGGCTTTGCGCCAGGTGTGGTGTTCGAAGGGTCCGTGGAGGTGGTGAACAAGAGTGCTGAGCAAAAGACTGTCCTGGCGGGCACGTACAAGGACACAGTCGTGGACTTGAGCGAGCAGAAGGGTCTGGGCAAGCTGAAAGTGACGACCGTGAAGACGACTCCGTTCCAGGACCAGAAGCCCGGCACCTCGGGTCTGCGTAAGAAGACCAAGACGTTCATGAGTGACAACTACTTGCAAAACTTCGTGGCTTCCGTGTTCGACGCACTTCCCGCGAAGGACCTGAACGGCGGCACTCTCGTTGTGTCCGGCGATGGTCGCTACTTCAACAAAGAGGCCATCCAGATCGTCGTCAAAATGGCTGTCGCGTATGGTGTTGACCGTCTTTGGATCGGCAAGGATGGTCTGCTGAGTACGCCGTGCGTGTCGGCTGTTGTGCGCGAGCGCGAAGGCGGCAGTGTCGCGTTTGGCGCGTTCATCCTGTCGGCCAGCCACAACCCTGGTGGCCCGGACGAAGACTTCGGCATCAAGTACAACTGCGAGAACGGCGGCCCTGCCTCCGAGAAGGTCACCGAAGAGGTCTACTCGTTGTCGAAGGTGATCACGTCGTACAAGATTGCGTCGGAGTTCCCTACTATCGACATTGCCACGATTGGCACGACGACCGTCGCTGCTGACGACGGTAGCCGTACGATCACGGTCGAGGTGTTTGACTCGGCTGAGCACCACGTGGACTTGCTGAAGCAGATCTTTGACTTCCACGCTATCAAGAAGCTGGTGTCGCGCCCGGACTTCTCGTTCGTCGTAGACTCGATGTCGGGCGTGAACGGTCCGTACGCCCGCCGTGTGTTCGTGGAGGAGCTGGGCTGTGATGAGTCGTGTCTGCTGAACGGCACGCCGATGGAGGACTTCAACGGCTGCCACGCCGATCCGAATCTGACGTACGCCAAGACCCTGATCAAGGCCATGGGTGTCGATGCGAAGGGCCTGCCCGTGCTCGGCCAAGAGCAAGACCCGCCGTCGTTCGGTGCCGCCTGGGACGGCGATGCTGACCGTAACATGATTCTGGGCTCGCGCTTCTTCGTGACGCCTTCGGACTCACTGGCGATCATTGCTGCAAATTGTAGCGTGATCCCGTTCTTCAAGAACGGTCTGCGTGGCGTGGCGCGTTCGATGCCGACGAGCGGTGCGGTGGACCTCGTGGCCAAGAAATTGAACGTGCCGTTTTTCGAGGTGCCGACGGGCTGGAAGTTCTTTGGCAACTTGATGGACTCGAACGTCGTGTTTGGCAAGGAGGACTACACGCCGTTCATCTGCGGTGAGGAGAGCTTTGGTACGGGATCGAACCACATTCGCGAGAAGGACGGCATGTGGGCTGTGCTGAGCTGGCTGTCGATCCTGGCGTCAAAGCAGGTGGACGGCGCTCCGCTCGTGACTGTCGAGGACGTTGTGCGCGACCACTGGAAGAAGTTTGGCCGCAACTACTACTGCCGCTACGACTACGAGAACGTGGACAAGGCTGCGGCCGAGGCCATGTTTGCGGACATGACGAAGTTTGATGGTGTTGCAGGGAAGGAGATTGACGGGTTCAAGATCGAGAAGGCGGACGAGTTCGAGTACGTGGACCCTGTGGACGGCAGTGTGTCGTCGCACCAAGGCATCCGGTACCTGTTTGAGGGCGGATCGCGTGTCGTCTTCCGGTTGTCTGGCACGGGCGTTGCCGGTGCGACGATCCGTATGTACGTGGAGAAGTACGAGGAGCCGACGGGCAAGTTGGACCAGAACGCCGCCGTGGCGCTGGAGAAGTTGATTGACGTGGGGCTGAAGCTGTCGGAGCTGCAGAAGAAGACTGGGCGCAGCACCCCGACGGTCATCACGTAGAGGTGAAGTGGCGCCCGTCGTCGGACAAAGAGCTGGAGGTGAGCAGCGGTCGTGACGTGTCGCGCCGTGTGAAAGTCTCCGCTGCGCACGTCTGCGTGTCATCGCTCCTTCGCAGGAAGGCGTTCGTATGGCCATCGACCGATCGGTGACAAGTAAGTGGAAACTAAATGAGAAACATGAACATATAACTGATGAGTCGTGTCTTGCAACGCGTGTCCGACGTGCGCTGTGTGCTGCTACTGCTACTGCTCCTCCGTCTGGTGCTCCTGGTGCGCGCGGCCACAGCTTTGCTCCTGCAGTCGCCGGGTCTGCAGTGCGCTGAGCCGCTTGTACAGACGGAACTCGGCGGGCAGCGCGGCTTCCGAGACCATGTGCTCGGCAAAGTACACCCGCCGCACGCGACAGCTCGCGTGGAGCTGCACACTGATCGTGTGTGCGTATCGAGCACTGTAGCAACGGCGCGCGAGGTCGACCAGGTCGAGCTGGAGCTGGTTCCAGCCTTCGTCGAGCTGCAGCGGCAGCAGTGCGATCTGCGCATGAACGACCGTCTCGGACTGGAACGTCGAGAAGCGGAAGCGCCGTCGCGTGCCCCGATCGTCGGCCGTTTGCACCTCGAGCGACAAGTGCTGTCCGAGATTCTTGAGCACGAGCACGAGGTGGCGCAGTCGAATGTGCAGCGACGTGGTCGAAAGCTGTGCCTGTTGCTGCTGCTGCTGCTGCTGCTCTTCCTCTTCTTCTTCGTCTGCTGCTGCTGCAGGACATCGGATCCACGTGGGCACGAGATTGTCCGCCAGGAGCTCCACAACAGCCGACTGCACCTCGTCGTCCAGCACTCGTCGGATCTTTCCAGGCGTCGCCCCCGCGTGTTTCTCCCAGAGCTGCAGCGGACGAGGGCTGCGGTCGCCAGAGCAGATGGAAAGCCTGTGCGTCAGGAGGATGCAGCAACCACAGCAATGGAAACATGAGGGACAGGCACTGCGCCAGCAGCAGCACGCACCCGATGCTGTAGAGCAGCGAGACGAAGCCCGACTGGCACGTCTGGGCAAACATGTGACTGGACGCTGCGTGGCGCCTCTGGTGGACAACTATCGAGTGGGGCCAAAAGGTACTGGCAGTGGACCAGATGGTCAAGTTCTGCCTCAACTGTTGCAGACTCGCACGTGGCGCAGTCCTCTTCGTAGAAGAAATGATGCAGCTGGACGCTGTCCGCCACTGTCAGTAGTAAAAGCCAACTCGAGCACGAACATGCACTACACTGCGCATTGATGCAGCCCACGAGATAGCTGCAACCCCAAATGTTGCCATGTCCTTAACCCTCCGCAAGCCACTAACTATTGTGTGCAGCCATTCATTACCTATTGCTGTGATTGGTAGCGCTTTCGGTTCGTTCGTACCCATTTCGACGTCCGACGCCACCAGACGCTTTTACAGAAAGAAGCTCTTCGTGATCCACAACTACTCGATCACCACTACCGCCGCCGATTCCTCTACCGCCGCCGATTCCTCTACCGCCGCCGATCCCTCTACGCCACCCAAAATGAAGCGAGCGGTAAAGCCCAATGTCCGCGGCAATAGAGTCGTACAAGGGGCTCTCGTCATGGCCGCCGGGTTCTTCTCCATTCCCTTTGTCGCTCACTACACAAAGGTACGCACATATGATGAACCCATTCGTTCGTATTCGGACCCCTATCTGTATTTGTACATATGTCTGTCTGTCTGTGTGTAAACTACGGGTCATCTGCTGCTGGTCACGGCACTTACTGCGCTTTGCTCTGTCACACGTGCTCGAGGCAGAAGGCCAACTTGACGGCGCAAAAGGATCCACTGAATTCGTCACAGATCCGACGTGGGGCGTACCTGAACAGCGGCTCCCGTGATGCCGGCGCTGATCCCGACTGGGACCTGTCCACGGGCACGTACAATGGTCGACGTGGACCGAGCGCTAAGCGCACGCCATTGGACTCGAGAGCAAACAGCGACAATTGAGCAGCTCAACGAGCTGGTTCGACAGCTGTGTTGTGGTGTTTTGCAGGTACATATTCGATGCATGATCCAGAGAGTCTGCTGCAAGGAGCACTGCTCATTATCATCATCATCGTCATCTCCTCATCGTCCAACAAGACAACACAGCCTGACCGAGTGGACCTCTATCTAGCAAAGGCCGTGACGCGTACGTACTCGATCGCTCTCGTCTCCCTCCCTCTCTAGCTAAGGTTGGCATATTTTTTGCTCTTCTTTGTCTTCTTTTTGCTCTTCTTGGGGTCGCTATCGCCGCTATCCGCCGAGCGCTTCTTGTGCTTGTGCTCCTTCTGTGTGTCCGCGTCGTTGTCGCTCACCCCCTTCTGGTTTAACTTTGTCGCCTTCTTGCTCTTCACCTGCACCACAGCTCCGCCGTTCTCGGCCTGAGCAAGTGCAGAGTCCCAGTCGGCCTCGTCACCGCGCACCGCGTACTTCATCAAGTTGAGACTATCGAGCAGCTTCTGCTGCTCTTTGGCTTTTTCGTCGTGTGCGCCTTGACGCATTTCCTCGTCCAGCGTCGTCTCCGTTGGTGCCATGGCTTGGGCCTGCGCGACCACCTGTGCCAGCTTCTTGCTGTGCTCGCTCTCGTGCTGCAGTTGTTTCTCCATGAGCTGCTCAATCTGACCCAGGAACTTCCGCACAGCCTTGTTAAACAGCGCCAGGAGCTGGTTCGACGGGATGTTCAGCTCCTGCTGAATCACGTCCACGGACTGATGCTGCAGTCCAAGACTCACGAGAATCGCACGCTGCAGATACGACAGTGACATCTGCGGAAGACGCTGCAGGAAGTACAGCCGCGCCAACGACGGCACCAGGTCCACGATCATGTGGTAATCGACCATGTTCTTCGCGTACGACTTGAGGCGTTTCGCATCGTACGGCGTCAGCACCATGGCGAGCTCTGCAGGGCTGATCTCACCCGTAGCGCCACGGTGCAAAGCGACCTGCTTCGCCTCGCTCGAGCTGCTGGGTACGGAACTGACCGCCTCGTCACTCAGCAGGCCAAGCGCAAGCGCGCATGGAAACGTTGCAAAGTCGTAGCCAAGCAGCGAGGTGAATCGACGGCGCGAGTCGGCCACGAATTCGTCGAGCCAGCCGTCTGCAGGAGACGCAGGGAGGTCATCGCAGCGCAACGACCGCAGCAAAATGGCCGTGTGCTCACCCGTGAGGTCGTTGGCTGTTTGTCGGATGTACACGGAGCGAAACTTTGCGCGGGACCAAAAGTTGTGCAGTGGTAACGTCAGCCCAAACGACGTTCCGAACCAGTGCAGGCGCTCACATGGACGCTCTTCCAGCGGCAACAGAAGAGGCGGAAGTGTCTTTCGTGGCTTGATCTTCTCCTTGCGAAGCTTAAGCTTCTTGTCCGCCTCATCTTCGTCGGCATCCTCCTCGTCCCGTTCGTCGTCCTGCGTCGCCGCCTTTTCGTCCGACCCCGTGCCAGCTACGTCCGTCGTGATTTCACCCTGGTAGTACTTTGCAAGCAACTCGATCGCTCGCGAGCCGTAGCCCATGCCAGTGACGTCCGGATGAGTGGCAATGCGCACCACGCGCGCACCTGAGAGAGCAGCAAACTCTGTATCTTGGAACTGTTGTGCAACCGTCCACGGAATGAGGTCTCCCGAAGCACGTTGGCCGCGCGCGAGCTGCGCCTTCACGGAAGCTTTGGATATCTCTCCTTCCAGAGCCACCTGCACAACACAGAGGACGTCCGGCAGTTGGCCAGCATTGCCCTGGGCTTCCGCGCCTGGGCCGAGCAACGCAAACACGTGATGGGCCGGTGCATCTGACAGCAGCTGCAGGTCATTCGGCTGGTTCTTGTAGTGCGACGACACGTACAGCGTCATGATACGCTGCAAGAAGCTTTCCGAGAGCTTGTGGTACGAGAACAGCGAGTCGCGGTTCACGTAGAACAGCTCACAATCGCGCGGATGCGGCGTGCCTGCTACAAGCCGATGCGACGCGTTCGTCACGTCCAAGCACAACAGAGCGTTCAGCCAGCGCTCAACAGGATCATTCGGCGCATACCGAATCGGTGTCTCCAGCGACACCTCACGAAGGACACGCGCTGAAGACGAAGCGCTGCCAGCTGCTACAGCCTGAGCGGCACTGCTTGCCGCCTGCCACCGTTCTTCATGCAGTTTCTGCTCACCCTTGCGACGCTTCTGGTTGCCGTGGATGTTCGCCGCCGCACGCGCTGCCGCTTCGCCAGCACTCCCTTGTTGCTCGCGCAATTTCTGGAGCAATTTCAGCGACAGCGACCGCCCAGTGCCTTCGTATCCGTTGATGGTCGACGACATGAACACGAGGTAGGGACCCAGCAGCTTCTTGACGACTGGAAGCGGGATAGCAGCAGCCTCATCGATTGCCACTAGCTCTGCTTGCGCGAGCTTCTCGTGGTGCGTGGGCTGGATGTACTGAATGGTCTGACGGTGCTCGCGAAAGATGTTCACGCGAATCACGGCATGGTTGAACTCTGGATTCGTGCTTTGCACGACTTCGTAGTCAAGGTGCTCCTTGTACTTGAGCGCATCGAAGCCCTTGAAGACAAAGTCAAACACCGTCTTGAGGTTCTCGGGCGTCGGGGCCGTCACAAAGATATTGCTGTACCCGTAGGCAACAGCTCCCGCCAATGCCATTCCCAGCGCTGCCGACTTTCCCCGCCCGCGTCCAGCAGTCAGTGCGACCGTCGAGCGCAGCGTCTTCTCCGACACGGCCTCGACAAAAGTGAGAATAGCTTTGGCCTGGTCCAGCGTGCGTGCCTGCTCGACCAGCGCACCCACCGGCTGCGTGTCACGCAGCGACGTCTTGAGCTCTTGCAGCTCTCGTTCGTCTTTTGTGAGCTCAGTCGCGGGCTCACGAGGCGGCAGCGGTTCAATCTTGCGCGTATGTTTGGAGATCGGCAGCACATTGAGCTCGTCGTCGAGCACAACGCATCGCTCGCACGAAGCCAGCGAGAGGATAAAGCGCTCGTTAAAGCGCGCGACCACATCCTGATGCGACTCGGTGCGAAAGCGCGCGTGGACGTCCATGCTCATGGTGTAGAGCTTCTTGAGACTGTCCATCGTGCGCAGCAAGAGCACGACCACGCCGCCGCCTTCGACGGTCTCGATCGTGCGGGCCATGATATTGGGCGTCACGGCCTCAAAGTCCTGCAGCACGCACATGCCGTAGGTACTGCCCAGTACTTTGTGCGTCTCCTTGTAGTAGCACCAGCGGATGTCGGTCGACGCAATAAAGAGCTCGAACGGGTCGTCTTTGCTGGGGTCGTAGAGGCCGCGCTGCTGCTGCTTCTTGATCTGCCGCATGCGCTTCTGGCGGTGCGTGGAGAAGCCCAGTTCCTTCTTGTAGCACCAGAGGACGCGCGGCCGGGCTTTCACGACCGCCTTGGACAGAATGTAGTGCAGGTTCATGACCTGGTCCTTGCCGTGGTCGCCCACGAGCACCACGAACGACCGGAAGTTCTCGTGGATGCAGTTCTCCAGCAGCGTCCGCACGCGCGCGTCGACCTTCTTCTTGACCATAGCAAGAGACACAGAGAGACACACAGAGAGAGAAAGAGAGAGAGAGAGAGAGAGAGAGAGAGAGAGAGAGGAGAGGGGCAGAGAGACCGAGTGGGCGCGCGCGCGAGAGACGCACTTGACAGGAATGACAAGACGCAGCGCAATTGCTGGCAGTGTTGTTGCAAAAAGAGCATTGATTGGCTGGTGGTCACTATAGGACCACCTACAATTTGCCCGCCCGAGCGACGCTGCTCGAGGCTCGAGCACCGAGACCAGCTGGGGTCGGTTTATAGGTCAACCTAGAAAACACTACGAAGCACACGCACAAATAAACACACACACACATAGCTACGTGACGTTTAGCCACTCGTGTCCGAGTCGACCGGTACGTCTTCTACGAGCCCGGCCGCGAGCTCGTCTTCGGACGGATCGTCCGCTTGGCACAGGTCGTCAATGCCCAGACGTCCGCACTTGTTAAACTGCCGCAGCGAAAACACTTTGCGCTGCGAATCGTGGCGGCTGCAGTCGTACACGTCTTGCTCGTCCAAGATCTCAGCCTGTAGGATCTCCTCCAAGACGTCTTCGAGGGTCACGATGCCCAGCAGTCGATGCATGTCGGCCTTCTGCAATACAAACCCGAGCAATGGCATCAGTGCAGCCGTCCAGGAAGCAACGGGACCCGGTCAACGCTCGTGACCTTTTGCATGGACTGGACTCGCACGTACCGGGTTCGTCGTCTGTGGCTGCTTGACAAGCACCAGGTGGGCACTCTCTGACTTGAACATGTGCAGCAACGCGCTCAGCCTGCAGTCGGGATCGACGGAGCGCGCAGACCGGCCGAAGATCTGGAAGAAGCTCGACAAGCGCGTGTTTTCCTGCGTGCAAGATGATGTGATGGGTTGTTCAGTCTCATTGACAAGCAACCAAAAGGCAGCCACGTTGTTGCACCGCACGCACGGACCTTTGTATCCACGAAGATGAGGTCTTTTACGTGGATGGTCCCAACAATGTCGTTCACCGACGTGTTGTGGATCAGGACACGGGAAAACCCACTTGCGAGGATCCTGTGAACGAGCACTCGGTCCAAAACCGCCGAAGCAGGAGCCATAAAGACCCTGTCAAATGGAGTCATGATGCTCTGCGCCGTCTTGTTCCCGAAACTCATGGCGCCACGAATGATGCTGCCCTCGTCTTCGTCAATCATCTGCTGCTTCTCGTGCATGTCGATGATCTCGGCCAGCTGAGCACAAGCCACAACCCACAACGCACCGAGCGTGTGTCAGTACCGTCATCATCGTCATCACCACAATATTCATCGTCAACGAAGAAGACAAAGGAGCTGCTGCTGAACCACGTCAACGCTTGAGCAGCTCGTACCTGTCGTTTGGTAAACACTGTGCCAATATCTTCTCCCAGCGTCGCGTCGAGCGCCATGCTCACGGGCTTTGCAAACACGTAGAACAGCGCGATCAAGACGCGGACGAACGGCACGACTTTGCCACCAATCACTGCAGTCAAAACAACACACGAGTGAGCAGCGCCACTAGCAGCAGCAGGTCGAGTCCAAAGCCACAATGCTGCAGGTGTATATGTGTATATGTGTACCTAGCGCGTATCTCGAGCAGAGCGCCTGCGGGATAATCTCTCCGAAGATCAATATCAATGCCGTCGACGCGAGAAAGCCAAAGAGACCTGCGCCATCACCCGACACACACACACACACACACACATTGTCAGCCCACACGAGAACCCCTCGAGAGCCTATCAATATCAAGTCGCTGTGTGTACCGCTCGTAAGATCAGCCGTGACGATCGACGTGAGCACATTGACCGCCACGTTGCCCAAGAGCAGCGTCGTGAGCAGCAAGTTGCCCTCCCGCCGCAAGGGGATCACGCGCTTGGCCGCGTCGCTGTTGAGGCGCTCCAGTGCCGTCGCGCGCGCGTCTTCGCCCGCTGCGACGACGATTTCGAGTCCAATGAGGTCGAGCGACATGAGCCCGAGGCCCAATCCAGCGAAGAGGGCCGAGAGCCCGAGCAGGAGCACCAGCGCAGCCACCTGCAGCGCCAAATCGTCCCGGGGCGTCTCCGCTGCGCGTCCGCCGGTCAGAGCCACAGCCTGTAGCTGCCTCAGTACGACGACCGCAACGCCACGTGCGAGCTGCATAATGGCCGCCGGTTGCTTTGGTTCTGCCGCGCGAGGGGCCGCGACAGTGTGCGCCACACGACGCCCGAAGATCGTCCGCCCGCGACTGTCGCCGTCAAGTTACTCACTGATCGATCGTAAGTGAGCAGACAGAAAGTAGTCCACAAGTCGTGGAGTGAGTGGCGGCTGCTACTGCTGCGGTAGGTGTTGTCAGGAGTAGTGCATCATGTTGGACTGTTGGCAAACGCGCGTCGGCTTTGTACGTGGCCCATGTGACGACGTGATCTCGACGAGAGATGGGGTGACGACAACTTGTCCCTCGCGCAGTGACGAACAGTTTGGACCGAGTCGCTGCTTTGCTACGACGACTCGACCGCTTGTGTGGCTGAAGCGGTGTCGTGTACGTGCGACTGGTTGTGTTTGACAGCGGGTTTCAGGGAACTCGGAGCGGGAGACGTTCGGTAAAACGCTCGGGTCGAGTTGACATGTCGACGCGCGCCATGTGGGTGGCCAGCGCGGCATATGGCAATGCAGCAACGACCGACGACAGTGTCGAATGTCGACCTCTCGCGCACGGTCTCCGCTGGGCAAAAGCAGATGTTCCCTTGCTGCTTGAGGTCGTCGAACACAGCGCTCTTGCGCGCTCTTAGGGCTTAGGACTTGTCACCTCACTGCGTATGCTGACCGAACTCGGCGCTGGTGTTTCTACGACGCGAGTGCTCTCTTGTCGAAGGAGCGGCCGTTGCCAGCGACACTGCCGCAAGTACAGGAAAAAGGTGGCAGATGCTCAAGTGGCCAACGTTGCAACCAGCACATGTGGCATTGGTGCAATTGCTCAGACTGTCGGATTGCAGTGTCATCACGGACAGCTTGTGGCATTTCTTCGACAACAACGTCAATTGCCAGTGGCTAGAGACCTGCACGTGAACGAGCACGTTGACACAAATGGTCGAGAGGCTGTCGACGGGCAGACCGCGCCATTGCACGGCAATACATCGGGCAGAAAGCAGCTGGCCAAGGTGGTGTACCCGCATACGATCCTCGCGTCGATGTCTGCACAGTCATTTCGGTCACTGACGGACGCGATAAAGCGTATCGCTAGCGTGCTGGTATGTACTTCACCCTCTCGTTTACTACTAATGGAAGACGGCGGTGGGCGCTGATGCATCTGGACGAGGACTCGAGATCTACAACACTCACGAGTTGACAAATTTGGTCACATGTGCAGATCACTAACCATCGCTTGTGCGAAAGCAGAGCATCGTACTGAGCAATGCAAAAGTTGTGGCGATCCAGAGCTTTCCATAATAAAGTGAGATCACTTTGACGTTATCGGAACTGCCTCTCTGGATGTCAATGTCGATGCGGCTGTGTCGAAGGTTGTCATACGATGATGACACTCGTTGGCCTAATCCTTTCACTGATTCCGGAATCGTTCGTTCGCATGTACGCATCCACGTTGGACTACAAGCCCTGTTTGATGGTGTTCGTGCAGCCACCACTGAGCGGTCGATGTGAGAGGTACAGGCAGTCTATTATCCTTTACGGTGTACAAGATTGCTGAAAAGTCTTGTAGACGCTCGATCACCCCTGCTGGTGACGGTAAGAGCCGTCCAGTGGTATATCGAGCACACGGCCGCTGAGGAACCCGTTCGCGTTACAACTCCGTCGCTAGCCGAAAAAAAACGCAGTCATCCCCTTTGCGGTTGAACCAGTGCTCCCTGACTGCTACAGCATGAAGCTGCCGAAGGAGGCTTCCTTGTAGTTCGGATTTCGCTTGGTCGACGGTCGTCATCTCGTGCTTGTGCACCCATCGGTTACGGTGTGTCCATGGGGTGGCGAAGCAGACAGAACAGGCTATCCACCAGATTCGAACCCATGCCCGGTGCATAGCCTCTTTCGTATCTGGAAACAGGCGCCTGAGGTCTGCGCGGACGCACGGTGGAAGCTCTGGTGCCCACACCTGGTAGTCCGTCAAGACATGACTGTGAGCCCATTGCTGCGTCGGCGTTTGGTTGAGTGCGAAGTCCGCCCCGTCGGGCGCGTCGACTCGCGTTCGAAGGCGCTGAATCACGTCCTTTAACGCTGGGTATAAACAACGTTTCGCTCGGAGAAAAGGTTGTCGTTTTATAGCCTCGCTAACGTGCTTATTGTTGGTAGTTAAATTGAGACACCAGGGAAATCGGTGCAGTCGTGGATGTGCCGCAAAAACAAAAGCCCGATCTTGATTCCGCTGTTAAAAGGGGACCAACTCCAATCCGCCGGCCGGAAGAACTCCTGAAACACGGTGTATGATCCAGTGGATGCCGTTGGCTGTCTGGTGAAGGATCACGCAGGACGCCCCACCTGCTAGGGGTGATTGGCGAAGCCCACAAGCCACGCCCAATCGACTAAGCGTCCATGTATACCCGTTAAGCGCCTCCGGTCAACAGAGCGGTTGATGTGTGAAGAATCGAAAACTGAAGGAATAAGCTGTGACATTGACGGAAAAGGCACAATTCGGTGCATGCATACGTCGTTTATTGAATGGCATGAAAGCATCAGAAATAATTGCTGCTCGTCCCGCTACTGTCCACAAGCAAATTCTTCCGTGGGAGGATGCAGATCACAGTTACATGCTCGATAGGGTTGAAAGCTTTCGATTTTCGACCCTGTCACGTGTGCCCACGACTATCTCAAGGCGCAGCGACACATCAACATACAAGAAAACTACTACTTTCGCATGAGGACACTGGTTTTGCATAATATCTTGTCGCACTTACACATGCGATCTTTGTGTGCTTCAATTCTTTCGGATGATGACTTGGCCTGCTCCATAGAATCGAAGGTCAATGACGTTTGCAACAACCAGCACGCATTGCATGCAGCCCTTTTATCTCCTTTGTCGTCGACCACGTTCCTTAATATACCTCACAGTCAGTAACAACAACAACAACAAGACTCTTTTTATCTCCATAAACACAACATACCTTCGCGGCCAAATTCTGGTGAATTGAACAAGTTTGTAAAATCATCTCATTTGCTCTCGGCCTTTACTATGCTGCATGGCTACGTTCCGATCATTGTTGTACGACGTCTTGCCGAAGATTGCACGTGTGACAAAGAGCTTTCACTTTTAGTATGTTGCTCGTTGTTAGCCATTGTTACAGACAGACTAACTCCCACGCCATTCCGATAGATGCACGCGTGCGTGTCCGTGCTAGCAATGATGTCGCTAAGGTGTGGTAAAGTTGAGATGCAACACGAGTAACCGGCGTTTTGCTCTGGCCCGAAGCTCATCTCGTAACGGCACAAGTTTTGTATCGTCTACTTCTCAACGTGTTCGGCGGACGCCCTTGATGCCTCTTCAGCAAGTTCAAGTGCATTTTGCACGAAAAACGCCTTATCAAACGCTGCGTCCTCCAGCACACCGTCTTCGTAGCTAGCCTTGAACGTCGTGAGCAGCTGGACGTCGTTCTTGCGGGCCTGTGACTTGAGCCACTTGAGCGCCTGCTCATCCTCAAACAGACCTTCTTTCTGCAACTTGTTCAGCATGCGCAACACGTCGCTCGACGCCGCGTTTTCCGTCAGAGCCGCGGCGGGCAGTGCTTCTGCCTCAGCTACGTCTGCTTGCGTGCTATCTGTCGGCTCAATGTAGCCTTTATATATCGACCGACATATCAGCGCAGAACCAGTCAGCAGCTATTGGCACACTTAGGCACGCATCGGCCACGCGTACCTTCAATGCAGCGTGGATTCTCCTTCAGCGCTTGCACAAACTGCTCCGCCTCAGCTTCTGTAGGCACAATAATGGCCAGCGGTTGGCCTGGAGCGACGTTGCGAGTGCCTTCACGCACCACTTGACAGCGCACAAGCAGCAACAGCACAACCATCAGCGAGCGCCGTTCACGACCACCTCACATGCAGCTGCGTGGCTACTATTACTACTCACAGAGTCGCGCGATGACGCCCACGTCCCCCGACTCGAGCTGGAAAGTAACGTCTGGTGTGTCAATCTGCCACAGCCCACACCGCAGCGACCCACAGCTTCAGCCACATCTGCCCCACACTTCCCGTCCTCGTCCATCCTACAGATCCACAGCTCTGCGCCCGTACCTCGCACATGTGCGTACCGTCCTGCACGACGGCGCCCTCCTGGACATACCACTTGCTGAGCGTCGTGCGCGACGCACCAGCGCCAACCGCCTGTCGTTGTGGCGAAAGAGCCAGTAGCAACACCACATCAATCAGTTGGCCGCTCGTCACCAGCCGCGCGACACGTCGTCGGCCGCTGCTGTCGCACCTTAAAATCCAAATCGGGCATTCGGAACTTGACGTGAGTGGGCAGGAGCACCTGCTTTGCCTCTTCCGCAGGTAACGCGATCGGTGCCGCCTCCAGTGGGACACTCGAGGAGCACCGAGCAGCTCGTTGCAGTCCGTTGGATCGCAGGGGACCAGCGGCTGCGACAGGCGGACGTCGCACTGTCCTGTGCGCGAGCACGCGGGCGGCTGACCACATGCTCGTGTGATGGCGTACTGCCCAAATCGAAGTTGGGTGACAAACGCGGCGAGATACGGGACTGTATGCGATAGAGACGTCCACTGATCGAACTATAAATAGAGCGATGGGTCTGTATCTGCTTTTATTATGGCTGCGATGGCGTTCAAAATAGACCGGTCAAATCAGATCGAACCGGTCAGCGGACCGTTGCGTCGCGGCGCTCGGCAGCCCCCACCAATCGCCGCTTGCGCTCCGTTCGTTGGGCAGTGTGGAATTTCCTGGAAGCGTAACAAGTATGAGGTACGTGAATGGACCTGCGCCGCAGGTGCGACGCACAGGAGCTGCGGATCGCGCACCAACTCGTGTGTGTGTGTCGAGTATGCGCGTGCGTTGGGCCTCTCGTACTGACTCATTGTTTGTGGCGTGTGTTCTCTTGCAGCAACAGCATGATTGAGAACGCAGCGACGTTGAACCTGTCTCTCCGCCTGCGCGGTGGTGGTAAGGTCCACGGCTCGCTGGCACGTGCCGGTAAAGTGAAGGGCCAGACCCCCAAGGTGCCGAAGCAGGAGGACTCGAAGAAGGCGTTGACGGGCCGTGCGAAGAAGCGCTGGCAGTACAACCGCCGCTTTGTGAACGTGGTTGCGGGCATGGGCGGCAAGAAGTTGGGCCCCAACTCGAACGCCGCGAAGGCGTAAGCACGAGGTGCGGACGGCTGTGAAAGGGAGCGGTTGGTGCGTCGTTGGCGGCAGGTGACATAGTGATGCAGATCGGAGGCTTTCGTTTGATCTGGAGGGGCCGTGTCATGTCAGCTCGCGTGGTGGCAGCAGCGCTGCTTCTTCTTGCGAGGCGAGTGGCATTGTTGCCGTTCAGGTGGTGGCAGCAGTCGACGACGTGGATTCTCTCCGTACTTGAGAGACCCCACTGCTCTCGTCTTTTCGAAATTCCATATGTTAATTCCAACGCAGTTTTACATTATTCGGTCCCGGATCGTCCGTGCATTGCTTCAGCCGCTCCATTGCAGGTACAGTCTCCGCCGGCCGAAGTAATCTCTGCATGGCATATATTGCCCCAACTGGCGTGATACCTCGTGTACACGTAACTCAGCGCTTGAGTCGTGTCGAGTAGTTACGCCTACTTGCTTATTTCCGCCTAGTGAACAGCTGCGACTAGGCCGCCTCGGGTGCTTCTTATCGTTCGTTGTGTCATATCCTTCGCGAGTCGAAGCGTGCCAGGATGGATGTGTGTGTTTGCAATGCATAACTCGCCGACCATGTCGATGGTAACTTTGACTAAGACTAGCCTCAAACTCTGAGAATGGAAGGCCGCGGCAAGATGCGCGTGTCGTATATGTAATTAGAAATGTACGCCTGGAAGAAGCATACGATATGAGTGCACGCAGATACATACCGAGTACACATGACGGAGATAGGACTATTACAATGTCCTCCATACCGCTTGGAGGTGCCACATATACCACCTCTCCACCCATACTTGCTACAGCGTAAGAGTGTTGCTTGCTGAATCAATCGTGCAACTGTAAATGTTTGTCGTAACGAAGCGCTCTTCCTCCACATGTTCATGGCTTTGTCATTCAAGCCATGCCATGCTTGAGTCTTTCCGACCGCTTGGCAGCCTCTTCAGCGTGCATGTCACATGTATATATATGAGCCCCCCTCGTGGCGGGCGCACGTAAGATGTCAATCAGTTGCTTTGCATATACAGGCGGATTGTTGCAATCTGGTAAGGTCACACGTCAAATGCTCCTTTCGTGGAGCAGAGCATGGGTTCACTCGCTGTTTACGTAGAGAGAGCTCATCGTGCACAAAACTTGTGACAAAAGAGCGCCGACAATCGGGTGACAAGCGGTGAAGATACAGGTGAGTTGGCGCACATTTCTGGCCGAGGCACTTCGGTTGGGCTTGAACGAGCAACGCTGAACGTGGCTACTGTATGCATCGATCACTTGGCCTGTTGCAAGTTCGGCAACGCGCTGACATGGAACACAGGCTGCGCCATGTAAAGTGCTGCAGTGCCAATGTCCAGTCAGGTTGCACGATGCCGCCACCGACTGGCCGACTGGTCGACAGCGTCGTTCACTGACTGACGCACCATCAAAACAAATAGAAGTAGAGAATCTCTGGCGTTTGCTCTGCAACGCACGTGTTCGAGCCCGAGTCAGTCGGCGGACAGGACCCGCGCCGGCTTTATCTCCAGCTGAATACATCGGCTCGTGCCACCGCTGGCTGAGCACGTAATCCATTCGCGGTAGGCACATGACGCGTCAGAGAATTCGTTCGTATCCGAGACACAAAATGGCGTTGTACTGTGCAAGTTTCCAATAGATAGAGAGTCACGCAGTCCGTCTCATGGGTATACCACAAGCTACGAACAAATCGCACGATGGATGGATCTCCTCCAATACTCGCCGTCTATTTACAAAAAGCCCCTGCAACTTCTTTCTCCACCAGAACGCGCACTGGCGGCCGTAGGTGCCAAGACAAGACGCTGTTGCTCGGACGCACATTGCGCAAGTCGCTTGGGCCACGTTGAAGTTCGTTTTACTTGCTTTTTGTATTGACACACTGATCCACGGCACTTTTCGTTCTCCGTCTACTTTTCCGTACCGGACGCCCTTCGGCCATCCCCTCTCCATCCACTTCCATCACTCCCACGTCCTTCGCCCTCGTATCAACTACGCCCGCTGTCGCTCGCTCGCTCGCTCGCTCGTACACATGTGGCTGCTCAGTCTGAGCTTCGGCTGCTGTTTCTCGCTGTGCTGCTGTTGTTGCTGCTGTTGTGCAGGTCTGTTTGACGAGGGCAAAGTGTCGCCCCTCCCCGTCCCCACTAGGCGGTCCGCTGCGAGGACTTCTCCACCGACTCGCCGCGCACGCGCGACAGGATCCCGCTGAAGAACGGCCGCAGACCACCGGCGACGGGGCTCGCAGCCGTACCGGCACTGGCCGCTCGATCGGTCGTCGTCGACTTGCACATGGACTGCTCGAGCGGACTCTCGGAGATGCGCTCGACGCTCGGCACTTGTACCCCCATAGGCCGCTCGTCGTCCGTCCCACACGTCGCGGGCGGCGCCGCGCGCTTCACTTCCATGTCCCCGTGGGCGTCAACGTCCATGTCGACGTCGGCCGTCTCTTCGGTCTCGAGCCGCTGCATCTTGACGGGCGGCCACACGGTCGTCCCGTCCTCCGGCCGTTCGCGCGCCAGCACCGCCGACGTCCGCGTCACAGAGTCTCGCACGTACCCAATGTCCACCGGGTGCTGTTTGTAGCTCGAGAGCCGCTGCGACGTGATGGCGGCAGCCGCCACGACACTGGCAGCAGAGATCGACGGCCGCATGCCGCCAGACGGCGTCGTCGAGCCGCTGTTGGCGCCCGACCGGGGCGTGGAATTCCTCGAGCCAAAGCCGAACCCGCGCGTGCTGCCCGGTGTGAGGTTGTTGGCAATGTACGACCGCGGCGTGTTGCTCTCGTTGAAGAAAGCGCCCGGCACACGGGCATTGCGCGCGCGGCCGTGTGCTCGGCCAGGCGGAGGGTCGTACACCGACCGCGTCGAAGTCGTCGAGCGCATCGAGAGGTTCGACTGCGCCGACGCATCCGAGTACGCCGACGGCGTGCGCGAGCCGCCGCCGTTGACCATGTACAGGTCCATGAGGTTCATTTCATTGTGGGCGACGGTGCTGCTCGACGTCACAGACGACGCCGACGTGTCCGACATGTTGCCGTCTTCGTCTTGGCCTGCGACTTTCTGCACGCCCATGTTGCACACAGAGCAAATGCGAACGTTCTTGAGCGTCGTGCCTGGCACTTCGACGCACTTGAAGACACTGCACTTGCCGCAAATGACTTCGCCACAGCTTCGACAGTGGTGACGTGGACGAAACGTGCCGAACGTGCGGCTGCAGACAGCACAGTGCAGCCGCTCGTGGTTCGGGACCCACTGCTTCTTGTCGACGAACGTGCACGAGTTCATCTGCTGCTTATCGACGATGCGCCGGATCTGCACGATGCTGCTCACGAGCTGCGACTCGGCCGTCTTGAACGCCCACTGGGCAGGAAAGTACCCGCCGGGATCGAACCGCGCGACGTGGTGCACGCGCACCACGTTGGGCTCGGCGCGGTCCGTGCGGTACATGTACCCCGCGAGTATCTTGGCCCGCACGAGGCCCCGCGAGTTCTCGAGCGACGGGCACTCGTTGATCTCAATCGAATTGAGGATGCGCACGTACATTTCGTTGCCAAACGAGTCGACGATCTTGTCTTGCACCTCGAGGCAGCAGTAGTCGCGGTGCGAGACAATGGGCGTCGGCGTCTTGACTGCAAACCACTTGATGCCAATGTACCGAAACGGCGTGAGTGGCGTGCGGGGCACGACCGTAAACAGCACAGCAGCGTCCATGACCGCTGGGTTGAGTTTCTTCATGAGGCGCCGAAACAGCGCGTCGTTGTGCGCGGCGTACGCGCGGCCGACTTGATCCAGCGACGCCGTGAGGTGGCCCTTGCAGCCCACTTCGGCCACGTTTGACTTGTAGGCCTCGGGGCCCCTAATCTGCCCAAAGTTGCGGTAGATCGCGACCCCCTTCTTCTCGCGCGTGGGGATCCAGCTGTTCTTGTGGCAGTCGCTCAGGGCAAAGACCTTGCGGATGGAGCTCTCGGCAAACTCAATGTACTGGCGTCGCATGTCCTCCGACACGCGCGCACTGGTGTTGAAGAACCCATTGGGCAGCGGCAGCGACGTCGACATGACGAGAGCTGTGCAGCGGTCGCGTTTTTTGCGGCCGAAAAGACACACTGGAGCTGCTGGTCGGTCGTCAGTGGCGTCGCTCGCGGCAACAAGTCGGTCACTGCGGCTGCGCGAACCAGACGGCGATCGACGGACGACGCGCCAAATAGGATCGCAGGGCCAACGAGCGATGGCAAAGCGCAGTGAGGACAGAGGCAGAGGCGGGCGGGCGATCGATCGATCGACATTCTGGCCAATCACGGCCGGCAATGTCGTGCGTGCCGCCTGAGTTGGACTGACTATTTGGCGGAACAGGGCGGCCGAAGCTCGCCTGGTTCTGCACACGCGCATACACACGTACATACATACATACATACACGCGCAAGGTGCCGCGCCCTCAAAGGAGTCAGTCGCATGCCCGTAATGGGGCCTCTCGCTTGAACAAACCTTCGGTTCAGACTTGGGGTGGCAACCTATCGTCCTTTCACTTCGGACAGTCGTGTGCGCCTGGAAGTTGCAAACGACGCAGTGCGTCACGTCAGTGGATAGAGCGTGCGCGCAGACCCAACCGGTCGTTGAGGTTTACGTCGCTCTTGACGACGAATCAAACCTTCCGCAACGCGCACCATCTGGTCGAAACGAAACACGGGCAGCCTGCGATTCGCCCGCTTGGCCTTGTATCGCATCAGACAAATCGAGTGGACACGGACTCGAAGGCGGCAAGTCGCGCAACGTCTATTGGGACACCTGTTGCCATGAAGTGGCGCGAGCAGCTCGCTGAGCAGTCTTCCTGATTGGCGATTGCGCGCCTTCATTTAGTGTCGGAATGAAGCAATGGACTCCTCCAAGTTGCATAATCTCGACACTGAATTACGGTTGAGTGAGGGAATGAGCATATGCTGAATGATGTCGGACATGGCATCAGCAGACACGTTCCCAACCACGAGATACACAAACCATCAGAGCGAGCGATTCGGTGTGAGCCGTCATCAATTTCTTGTGCGCGGCCATTTCAACGGTTTTTATTCCATCGTTGCGATCCGCCTGCGCACTTTTCCCTTTCTGCTGCACCAAAATAGCTGAGTCTGGTCGCGAGCTTCCTCAACCATCCACCTGTTGTCACTCTTCCTATCATCAGAGTGAGCGCTGTATACAGTAGCGGGTGTATGGAACGGATCCAGACGACGTGAGGTCTGTGATGGCTTTGGTCATAAATGGCCGACTCATTTATATGCACACTTATTTGCTAGGCACACACCCATACTACACACCCCATTAGTAGACACACGATCCCCATTATCCAGTTCTTCCCACGATATTGTCACCCCTTGACATGGTACCACGTATGTAAGTTATGCACCTTAGTACACTCGTGTTACCGCTTTCTGCAACAGTTGCGTACATGTAGCACAACAATGCAATATCTCCCGCTCACAAACGAATGCAGACATCAAGGTTGTTCTGTGTGTGTGTGTGTGTTGTGCAACTGTTTGCCGAGTTTATAGCCGCAGCAAAGTGCAAAGCTCATGCGCTATATTATTGATATAGGTTGAGTGGGAGCAGGGAACACTTTCCATACGAATCATCAACATGATACTCATCAAGTAAGTTAACGCATGTATCTGTTATCATAGTCGCCACACTCCTCACCGACCTGTGCGTGTTTTCACACTCGTCCCGGTTGTTGGCAAGAGGTTGTACAAGTGCGCTACAAGAACAAGTTAATGTCTTCAATGACGTTTCCACTGGCATGATCCTTTTGTCGTAAATCCACGGCAAATCCCGTACTCGCAGCTGTGTGCACAAGCGAGCCAAGCTGCGCGAGTCTCACCTTTACTTTCTTTTTGTTGTTTGGATGCGCTTTGCTGCATAAACATGCAATCGCCCATGGACAACGGCACCAGCTTCTCCTGCGTCCAGCGGTAGGTGTGAGTTGTCTTTTTTTATCCAGCATGCCTATATGGAGGTGAAAGGACTTAATTTTGACATTTGGAGTGTAATGGGTGATGCAAGATTAGGTTTTGTACACGACAGGTAGTGAACACAATCCGGATGCATCTTTCGACTCGCCCGAACGCAATGGCGAGATCGTCATCTTCACGTTGTGCATCATTACGTGGATCTGCAGCTTTCAACGCTGCAGACTGAGAGATGCACCAGCATCAGGATACTAATTATCATGCTCTTCGAATACATGCCACCTCCTTGGCAGCTGCGCACTTGCGTGCTGCATACCGCAAGAACTTGTTGGCGATGAAAGTGGGAAGAAAGATCCACACCAAACTTTGCTACCTTTTCCCTAGAGCCAATCAACACTTGTTGTCTAATCATCAATCGTGGTCACAATTGCAACAATTGATTCTGGCGCGTGACGTGAGGGGTAAGCTTGATGCATATCTATAATTAACATGGAGTCAAATGTTAGTGGTGAGTATCGTATACGTCGAGTCGGCCGCTTCAGCTGTCGCTCCATGGAACTTAGCCTCCAAATAATCGCTTCGGCCATCTTTCAGCTGCATCGGGCAACGTCGCACTGAGAGCGCTTATGAATCGGCTCAAACCTGGCTTGGGCAGGTCGGTTGTAAGCGCCTATACCTCATCATTCGTCTCTTCTGAGACCCCACGCTTTAATCCCTGTTCCAAATCGTGATTTCGAGGGAAGCTCGTCGGCTCCAGTCATTTGAGTGCACTTCAAACTGTCAAGCAGACGCACATGAATACCTCTTGCTCTCCCCACGTTGAGGTGTCTGAATTATTTTAGGGATTAGATATAGAACTTTTTCTTTTCGTGTGGTGCATTTTTACCTTGTCTAAAAGAACGCTCGTATTTTTTTAATCACGCATTTCAACGTATCTTCCTTTGTCAGTATGTGTAAGACATTATCTTGCCTTTAGTGCTAACGTCATCTAACACGCTCCCCCAAAGTATATCTTTCCTTGTCCCTTCACTTGATACATGAAACGGTTCACCCCGAGATATAGCTTCCCAAACGCCGAGGACCTCTTTGATAATCAGCTTGCTGTAAGCGACATTGTCAGCAATAGAAAAGCCATCAGGCAGCTGGACGTTTGATTGATGCAGGCGTGGGAATATTCTACGACCAGGTGTTCCCGTCAATGAGGGAAGAAGCAGCGCAGTGGCCGTTCTGTGAGCTGCAGCTGTATGGTGGACGTACGCTCGGCAGGAGTCCATGCACGAACGCATTGACGCCTCGTGTCCACCCGATGCCGAGAGCCTCTTTGAGAATCAGCTTGCTGTAAGCGACATTGTCAGCAATAGAAAAGCCATCAGGCAGCTGGACGTTTGATTGATGCAGGCGTTGGGAATATTCTACGACCAGGTGTTCCCGTCAATGAGGGAAGAAGCAGCGCAGTGGCCGTTCTGTGAACTGCAGCTATATGGTGGACGTACGCTCGGCAGGAGTCCATGCACGAACGCATTGACGCCTGATGGCGACCCACGTGATCAGATCTGCAGGACATCTGCAAAAATCAGGTCCCGTACTTGTCGGAAAATCAGAAGTGAAAACGTAAAAACGCTGTCATCAGATAAAATCTGCAGACCTGTTCCTCACTCTGCAATCTGCCGGCAACAACCCACACGTTGATATGCGCAGTCATTGTCTTTTGCTTGCGGCCTTTGGCACCCTTCTTAAAGGCTTGCCAATCGACGGCAAACCGACAAGCTCTTCTGCCCGTAATGCGAATGTCGCACGCCTCGACGAGGCCGAGCCGACCCCCGTCATTGCGCTTCCCCATGCCCCATTGGGCCACGGCAGGACCGCGTCGGTTGCTGGCAGTCCATCCAGGTCGAAGGACACAGTGGTTAACGTGACTTCCCGCGTCACGAAAGTCGATCCCGAGGAGCGGGGGAAGGAGGAGATGTTGGAGGAGGCAGCGGGGACGATGACAAAATTGGTAGAAGGGGAAACTTTCGTCAGGAATGCACTGGACGTGAACGAGCAGGCTCAGGAATGGGCCTTACAGATTTCCAGTTTTGACAAGAGCGGCGGAGCTCCAGAGGTGGAACGTTTTGCGGATTTTGTGCGCCGTAATGCTGATCAAGCGCATCGACCTGACTTGCACATTGATGACACACAGATTGTCGCAATCTTGCGGGAGTCTACCACACCCCCGAAAGCGGTGAGCCTATTCGTGAAGCTTTATGAAGTGGAGGGGATGAAAGATCACGCAGTACAACTACACCGCAAGCTATCGCATCAAAATTTGATGAACTATGTGAGCATGGAAGGGTCGTGGGAGAAGCTGGAACTGAAACCCGAGAAGGTTTTTGAGCTACTCGGTCTGGGTTCGAAAGATTTGCTTTTTCATCAGGATCTTGTATTTGAGTGGTTCAGGTACGTCAAGCGTTGTCAACAAACAGACAAAAATTCAGCAGCACTCACTCAAGACCAAGCATACACCCTTTTCTTCAAGGATGGAGAGAAATTGACCCCTGAGAACAAAGAGACGATGAAGAAGTTTATTGAAACTTTTTCGTCTTTCGGTGTGGATAAAAAAGGTCGCGCTCAAGAAAAAGCATACGGAGAAGTTCTGAGACGGGAGAATGCACTTAAAAATGCGGGTCCGGCGAAGGAAGGTGGCGCTGAGTTGAGCGACGCTTAGCGATGGTAGAGACAGTTAGTGAATTAATTCTTAAAACTTGCTTCGTCGGTTCATATACGGTAGGCTTAGATTAGCATGAGTGTCGTGTGAACTAAGGACCTTGATAACTTCAAATCTATTATAATTTACTACTTCTGTGTCAATCGAAAGACTGTAGGCAAGACGACCGCGAACCTCTAAATCGCTTCCATAGCCGACGTAGCGCTCGAAATAGACACCCCAAATTCGACTTGGCATTATGTGTCACAGCAGCCACAGCAATCACAGCAGCAACGTATGTTCTACTGATTAGTACACGTAGCCACGTTCATTATACTGGTTGGTACACGTGACTGTCTTAGAAAGAGATTTTAATTGAATGGCATATCTACCACTGATAACTACAGTAGCAGGGTAATTTAAAATTAGGCTTGCCTCTGATCAGGAAAGATAAATCTTCTACAACGCCGCTTTTTATATGCATTGTTGTTGACGCAGGCAAACATGCATCCTCTCAGCTGACTAATCGATAAGTTTGAGCGTTGGCCGCGAAGTAAGCTTTCTTTGGCCGTTTTTGCAATTCCAGCACGATTATTGCGTTCGTTGTCAGCTGTGGTCACCTCATGGCTGGCAGCTGTTACGCTCATGGACCGCAACATGGTTTACTGTCCATCACCACTGAAGGGGTTATGGAGGTAAGCAATAGCAGCAAAAAGTGCCGAAACAATAATGTTACTCCTCTTGTGTGACGTGTCATGCGCGTCCGAAGGTAGTGTAGCAGCATACGCTTTCCTGCTCTTGCGACGTGTCATGTGCGTACGAAGGTATTGTCGCAGCATACGCCTTCCTGTTCTTGTCTTTCTGCCTACTGTGTCACGTTCCCTAGTTGTTGTTGTCAACTTGAGCGTCCGGCTCTGGTCAATCATAGAAGAAGCGAAGAATGACCGAAACAAAGAGACTGATAGTAACCACCACGCAAGAGCATACATTTCTAGCTTAACCGGGTTGTTGTCGATACTGCAAGGGCATCGTAACATTCTGGCGAACACGGCCGTACAATTGCACGCGTACACTAGTTGCATAGTGTGCAGCGTTGGTGCATGTCATCACAATATTTGTTAAGAATACAATTCAACATGTCACCGTTCGCCCTTCGCTCTATCACACACGTGTATTTTTGTACCTGTCGCTCAGAAAACCCGATAAATTCAATCTCTATTCAGCTAGACCCTC